GGTGTTGAGCTAATGATTCGGCTAATCGAATTGCATCGATTCGGGAGAAGTACCGCCTGTCAGAGAAGAAAAGGGTGAACGACACGTTGCTGGCTCGGGAGCTGCAAGCCATGCCATTTAATCCCCCAAGTGTTGAAGGACCAATCGATTATGCAGCTAGGTATGGGATTTCTTTTATTATATTTTCTTCTAGCTAACTTATAAGTGGCTGTTTAGATATCTTGCAACATGATATTTACAAGCTTAATAGCAGCCTCATGTTCGATTTGCAGCGCAATCAGATCATTCAATTCGAACCCAAAGTTCCAAATCACTTTCGCAGCGTCATCATCACCAGGACTATTTCATTTCGAGCTTTTCACACCAATATGCTGAAAAACACTGGGAGTAAAAGCCAATCTAACCTCCTCATTGGCATTGGCGTACTCCTCTAATAACGAGCCTGCAGATCTAGCTTTCTTCGTTTCATACTAGGATACTATGTCCGCGACACGATTACGGAAATACAAGGGCTTAAGAACAGCATACAAACGCGGCATTCAGTGGACGCCAGCTTGAGTCGATAACACTGATACATGACCCGAAACGAAAATAGCATTATCTAGAGCATAGCACAATATAAGAGCCTGGAAATAACCAAGGGCCAATCAAATTGACCGCGAAGGCGGCTCCACTTTGTAAACTAACTCTCGGTTCGCGCCGATGTGTAACGAGGTTATTTATAATTAAATACCATAATTGGACATTGGACTTGTGTTTTTTCTATTGGCTAATATTTGTTATGTTTCGTATTTTCATGACTTGTCAATTGGTGGTGCTCTAGCTATAGGTATAGAAGGTATAAGTTAGCGCAGGTTATAACTTGCCCACCATATAACCCGGTTACAACTACCTGCCGTACGCCTGCGCCCCCCCATATAACCACTAGTTAAATACATATATATGGTATTGGAAACAACAGCCTACGGCACATATGCAGGTGCTGGCCTCGGAGATGTACTTTGCGATTTGGGCTTAAACATACGACATAACATTATGTAGTATATTTAAAGTTAACCTGTTTAAAATCCGATTTATCCAAGAACTGGTCTATCGGGCCCTCTACCTGGCTACCATCACAGGCAACAGAGACACGGGCTCTGGTAGCGCTTTTATTCATCCATACAGCTAGGCCCCAGTACATTGCCATGAGAAATATACAGGAGCAGTAGCAAATGAGCATTGCAATAAACCCGCTGGTGTATGCGGGGGCTTGGCTATCACGGAACGTTTGAGGTCCAATCAAGTTTCCTAAAGTAAGTGCTTAGTAGGTATTCTATCTCAATTCTTACAGCTGTCACATACCGACGGCGTAGCCAATATATAAAATTGAGTATTGGACATTTTTCTTCGTGTGGCCTGCTGTATTTGCTTGAGCAAGAGAGATGCCTTAAAACGGATTAGCTGTGGGGTATAACTAAGGAGGATGAATCTTACCAACAACATAAGGACCAAAATAAGTATACAGCTATGAGCTTGTGTTAGCCCTCTGTCAAGTACTCAAGTCAAGCTTTGGATATTCAATAGCTTACAAAGTATAATCCAACAATCTGACCTGGTATATCAGTTCTCTTCAGGGTATAAACAATAATAGACCCAATAACAGGGACGGCTGCTGCCAACATGGTAACTAGACACCGTCTATTCGCCCACTTAGCAGCAAGACTAGAGAATATAAATGCAGAAAGCGTTGACATAACACCAGTAGGCATGTTTAATAGAGACGCCTGAATTGGCGAAAACCCTAAATTTTTTATCAGGATGCCGCCAAATGTGATTAGGCCTGGGTAGATGTTAGATCAGAACGTTTCAGAAAGGGGAAAAGCGAGAGAAGCTAGTGTATAGTTACCTCCGTTAGGAATGTTGATTGCAACATTAAATAGGAAAATAATCCATGTCTTTGGGTCCAGGATTGCTTCAACCACTTGGTTCCACTTCCATCTCTTGTTGACAATTCCGGTTTTATTCTCAGCAAGGCGCCTGACAGCGTGATATTTCTCCTCATCTGTCAGGAAACGGGCATCCATTGGAGAGTTCGGAAGGAATATAAGGGCAAATATTGACCAGGCCATTGATACGGATCCTAGTCATAATTATATGTTCGTATCGTTAACAACATTGGTAGGTTGACGAATTGGCACTCCCCACTTACCAACGATTAGAAAAAGGTACTGCCATAGCCTCAATGGCGCAGAGGGGGGAATACGGCCAACAGTATATGAAAGGAACCCGTTAATGACCGAACTAAACGCAGAAAACACGATGGCATTCCGTGGCGGCTGCTCTCTCTTTTTGTAGAAACCAGCAATCAACAATGATATCCCTGGAACGATGATAGCCTCTAGGAAACCTGTTCCGTACATAAAATTAGTGAATGATTATTTGCCAATGAAGGAACGATACGGAGCCAAACCCATGATAAATCTCAATGCAAGCAAACTGTGCCCTCCTGTGCAGGTTGGAAGGAGGAGGGTAACGGCTGACCACCCAATGGAACAGATACAGAGGTATTTGGCAGATGGGAAGCGATGAACTAGGTATGATGAGGGCCACATGCCTACAATAGCCTTTAAATATGGGTTGATCCATCAGCATTGCTTAATAGACAAACAAGGGCCATATAAAAACCAACTCACGCCGATGGGGAGAATGGAGCCTGCCCAAGCGTACGTTTGGCCTCTCAAACCCAAGTCTTCTCTTAGTCCATAAAGGGCCGCAGTGCCCAGTGCAACTTTATCAACAGCCCCAAGGGTCGCAGTAAGAAGAAGCTATGAAGCAAAAATTAGCCTTGTCACCATTTGGTTCTGGGATAAATCGACCTAACACTCCTCAAGTAAAGTAGTACAGACCATGGGAAGAATAATCCAGTCAATCTTTTTAACAAGGGCCTTCTCCGCTTCGGGAGTCAATGGTGGGTATTCAAAGGTCTGCGTGAGGTAAACGGCTGCTCGGTCTACCATATCGTCCTTCCACACACAAGGAGAATCCGAAGGTATTGTATTAGATTGGACAGCACTTTTGTTTCCGCCATATTTACCATAGCATTGCTGCTGGTGTTCCATGTTGTGTGGTAAAGTTTTTGGCTACACTTCCTCCCAGAATATGATAGAATATCATATGGAACGGCAAAGTCACCGTATGCTCTTGGAATAGATTGAGCCCACGCGAGAAGCGCTTATCAAAGGAATCCCTCTATAGAAGGCCCCAGATTGGAACACATGATGGATATATATACTATGGGTCAACGTGTATAAACACTGTCTCAAGAAAAAGAATAAACGAATTCTTTCCGGCATATCTTTTCGACCTGAGCGGGATCACAAGCAAGCCAAATTTTTTCGTACATGGCCGTGGCTTGACAGAATCAAAAGCCCACAGGGGAGAGCCCCGTATATGAAGGGGCCCTTGCTATTATATATGCAAATAGTACATATGCATGTGCGCACTTCTCCGTTTTTCGTGTTGATCACAGGCCGCCGGCTGCAGCAGCATGAGATGCAATACTTGTCGAAGTAAATTGAAGCCTGGGTATCCTTGTCAGCGGAAGGCCGTAGCAAACGGGAACGCGCTTGTGAGCCGCCAACGCATACAGGGGATGGGGGATTGGCGAACCTACACATCGGCAGACATTCTGCAGACGCAGTCTAGTTCATAATCCATCCCAGCGGAAAGAAAAGGACAATCAGGTAATAATAAAACAAGGGAAACACCAATTACATAATTAAGCGAGTATCAACAGGGAAACAAACATTCGCACATTAAACAATTTGGAACTCCGTCTATCAACATACTAAAAATCCTCCCCCTACCCCATGTATAATGTGGGAAACAATTTCTATCAGCTTTTCACTTTGATTACTCTCATGCCAGGCTAATTCCACGCCCTTCGCGGCCCCAGACGTTTCCCCGAGGGTGATCTAGGTCCCTGGCACGATATGTAGACTCCACGGCGAGTCTTGCCCGGCGAATATTGCCCAGGTTGCGAGAATTTTGGATTTTCTGCAGTTTTTCTAGTATAAATCGGCGATGCTCTTCGTTGTCGACATCGACACTACCGACGACAAACAGTGGCCAAAGAAGAGTAGCCGTATCAGGCAGAGTAGATATTATCGCAATGATATCTGTGACCAATTTCTCTTTCCAGGCAAGCGTGGGAGACTCAACCATAACTGGCGGCACCGGGCCGAGAGCTGCGTGGGTTGGGCTCGTATTGTGTGTTATGGGGTATCGAGGTAATAGACCCACTCTTACAAGGCTAAGGATTGACGAATTATGTGGAGTTCCTAGGCGTTGTCGCAGGTAGAGAAGGGCAGTCAATCGCTTGACTTCTGCAACACGTAGCAAGTCTTCCCGGTCTTTAGCGTAAGATGGGAGGGTCTGTTGAACACCTTGGAGAGCTAACTCTAGTTTATTACGGGCATTGTTGAAATACGAGAGCTCTGAGATCGAGAGGGGCCCGCTCTTTGATATCTTTTTATATGTTGCATGGACACCTGTTAGGGGAAGCTGAAACAGACCGACTCAAAAACAAAGTCTTTTGCCTTTCTTTGCTTTTTTATCCTTTCTGTGGGAGCGAATATGTTACTCACCTTTGATTTCTCCGAAGCGAGGCTCGAGATCTTGCTGATCAAGGTCATCAGCCCACGAGAGCAGCCCATAAGCATATCGATCTTCCTGGTAATAAGCTGTTGTTCGAAAGATGAGAAAACATCTTGGGAGACGTACCTCTTCCAAATTATCATCTACCAACCAAGCATTATCGAGGCCTTCTGTCCCATCGTCTTCCATGGTCGTTCGGCCCATGATATCGTGTGCAACAAAGTACATGACAAAGAATTGCTTCAGCATATGACCTTCCGCCGATTTCAGGGGGAGTAGGTTCAGGAGCTGCAAACCTCCGCGAAGGTGCGTCTTCCATGATGGGGTACATCCATCCGATATCTAATTTAGGCAGAGAAGAGGGAAAGCCGCAATTAAGAATATGTATGCAGACAGTTGGGTCATCCACTTTCGTGAAAAAAGGGAAAAAAAGAAAGAAGAGAGCAAAGCAAAAGGGAGCATACATCGTGAAAGCAGAGCATCAGGACCGTTGCAATGGCACCGAAGCTAGGTTTCTGTTCGTTGATTTCCTTCTGTAGGCCAGCAAGGGCACGTTGCTTACAGATGTAAGCTTCTTTTTCGAACCTAACATTCCCGAGACGGCAGAACTGGTTCGCGGCGATGGCGAGCAAGGTATTGCGAAGCGGTGCATGTGAGAGGGCGAGCGGCGTGACAAGTGACAAATATGGATTGTAGAATGGACTGAGCGAGCAATTCGGACCAATACCCTCTATGAAATAGTTCAGAAGGTAGCGTTCAGTTTCGCAAAGGCGGCTAGGGGGTGTCCTGGGGGAGCGGAAAGGCCCGGAATAAAGTGGCAGGGCCGCCTTCCCCGCCCCGAATAACTGGGGTTAAGCTTTCGGTTTCCTCCAGTGGTCCATCTGCGAACCCGCCAAAGCCCCAATAGGTAGAGTGGAGGAACAGCCAACGGACAGTATACGGGGAGATTGAGACTGCCTGGAAGTTCTGTTCAATTTTTTTCAGGTCAGTCTCTAGTTTGGCCCCTACAGCTTGTGTGTTAGTGTCTCTTCTTTTGCGCCGAAACAAACTGAAGCACCTAAAGGGGCAAGGATATGTATTTATTATCACCTTCACGACCGAAGCGAATTCCCCTCTGCAATGCATCTTCCTTCCAGAGCAGCTTCAACCCCCGGACACAGTTGAGATTCAGTCGAACACATCGGCTACACCTTGGCTTTTCCTCTGTACATTGTACATGCTTCTCTGCGGGTTGAAAAAAAGCAAATTGTCAGCATCACGGTAACAACAGAGCAGAAAACAAAGAGAAAAAGATAAAGGATAAGAAACAGAAGATACAGGGAATCCCTTCCAGCGGAAGAGTGGGCTGCATCTCCGTAGATGCATGGAAGGGGAGGGGGGGGTTTTCGTATGTACAGTACCCTTGCACGTCCAGCAACCCGTCCTACGTCGACTCTCGGGCTGCTTGCGCTGTCGCCGGGTCATTGAGACGTCGCACGCGGTCTGCCCAGCAAAAGAGATGTTGCTTGTATTCCAGCCATGAAAAATAAGTCAAAAGTCTCGCTCTGGAAGAAAAGGTGAATGTGGGATCGTTTTCTGCTCCCCGAAAAGCTCGATGTTTCTTTTTGGCCGTATCGATTGCTGACTAATCACATACAACGCCCAAATATCAAAAATTCAGGAGAAAAGAAGAAGAAACGGAGGAAAAAGGAATATTGCTGTGCAGGACGGCTGGATTGCGAATTGGGCGAGGCGGGAAGGGTGGCTAATCGTTGGTTCGCTAGCTCGAGTAGCAAGAATGATGCTTAGCCACATAGTATAGTTCATGAGTGACAACTGGAGTGCTTAGGATATATATATATATAGATATCCTGTACTTCGTAAGCGTTTGTATATATATATGATTGATATGCGCTACGCATCTGTTCATGTTAATTCTACATCTAAGGCTCCTGTGTCTCCCGACTGTATTCTCCAGATCTTCCATCGAGCATCTTCAATGACTTGTTGCCTCAGCCATCTGCTATTTGACGAACACACATCTCTACCGTGGCCATCACTATCGTCACTGCTATTATTCGTAGCACTATCAGTCCATGCAAACAGCAGCCGTAGCTGCCAGAGACGATCTCGAGTCACTTCTTCACCCACTCCGCGTCTAGCTGCTGCGGAGACAAGGTTGCGCAGGGTTCTGTCAAGAACGAGCCGTGTGTCAACAGAGGTAGGACGGAGCCAGGATGGAGAACTAATCCTGTTTCGTCTCTTTCCATTAGAGAGCAGTTTTAGGGATTCGTGGAATGGAACCTGCGGGAGTACAACCACCCGTTCGGACATATCTAGTGATGAGAATGCGGGGAGATCAAATATGTAATCCCATATATGACGCGGCGGCATGCGAGCCTGGCCTGGTCCCTTTTCACTGGGCTGCAGCGAAGCATGAAGACTGACAGGAGGCATGGCATAGAAGGGTCTTGTGTTTCTAGGGATTGCTGCGGGTGGGGGGATGTCTTGGGCATCACTTAGCGCGGCAATGGTGGTGGAGAATACCGAGCGTTCTGAATCATTGTGAGTCGCACGTCTTCTTAAGTAGATGGACTGGCCTCCGTTCTGGAATTTGCTTCGTAGACTCTCGTTGCTGGCAACGTCCAGCGTAATGCTCCAGTGGTCGGCACTCGCGATTTTGATTAAAGATACCTCATCTAACTCAGGGAGAAGGCAAGGGGCAGTGACTGTTTTCACCTCCCCTGTACGAAGTGTCAGTGACACTGGAATCGTGACAGGACGTCGCGTGTCAAGATCTCGGGGGACTAGACATCGAGGCTCAGCGGCTAAGACCCACAGGTGGCGGAATGCCTGAAGGTGGCAGTTGTTATCGAGGACACTTGTTGGAAAAACCGGGTACAACGAGCAGAGAAGGGATGCAACAGCTATGTTAGATGTGCCTAGTGTGTAGGTCCCCCCACCCAGGAATAGCATACCCAGTGCCATATGAGTTGCCATATGGCTTCCGTAGTGGGTGTCAACATCGACACGGCCGTGCAAGGAACGTATCCGACGAAACGTCACTAGGTCACCGGTTCCAGCCATAACAGCTGCAGCAGAGAGTGCAATAATATCTTGACAGTTCCGCACAGAGTTCTGTGTTAGTTTTGCATCATAATTAAGGGCCGGTATACGACAAATCCGTATGAACTGGTCCAGATGTTCCACAAGAAGGTCTCGCGCTGCGATAGACCCTGATCCAGCAAATCGGAGACCCAGCGCAAAGCAGAGACCAGCAACTATGTTGAAATAGGGCATGTCGTCGGTGCTAAGCCGTCTGATTTCCGATAAAATGTACCTCCGTCTATAAAATGATGGAAGGCTTTTTCGTATCCATTTTTGGCTGGCTTTGATGGAGTCCCACATAATGATATGTCTTGCTAATGTTCGAAGAAGAAAGATGTCAGGGCGAACATAGTCGAATTGCACTTCTGTGTCCGGTATATCCACCTTCTGGGCTAGGGCTCTATCATTCGATTTCATGAATATAATAGCTATTGCAACCGTCGCTCCGGCTGTAGCCTTATCGAGAATATGGACCAAATCCACCTCTTTTGTTCCCACAGCCAATGCAAGCAATCTCTCAACAATACGCATATCCTGAAGGCCTTGGAGATCTTTTCCCCTCCCTAAGTTAACGAACCCTAATGCAAAGCCGGCAGCAAGACGGTACCCTTCGTAGCGCAACGGCTCCTTGGAAATTGAAGCCTCTTCTTCATCCATGTGTTCGATTTCAGAAAGCAGCACTTCACTCATACGACGGTGTTGGGAATTGCAATATAATAGCCCTATTCCCATTATACCCGTTGTCTGCGTCAGAGGGGATAAATTTAGCTCCGCTGCGCCTGGCGGAAGCATCCGCGTAACATGGACCGAAAGTAGTCGGGTAATCAGAGGGTCCATGGTTCCAAGGTAGGATACGGATAACCCTAGAAGCAGACCAATGGAGGTCATAGTGTGTTTCGGAGTTAAGTACTTGAACGCTACCCATTTTGCAAGGGTTTTCAAATGCCCGTTTAGCCCCAATGCGAGTAAAAATCCAGCATGTCGGTTCGTGAGATCGTTAGGTTTATTATACAATATCCACGAAGTGTCAATCCCTTTGGCGTATTTTGAAATTGCCAACCCAGTAGATACTCCGTTATGAAAGAAAGCCCAGCATGCTTTTTCCTCCGCAAACGCTGACCTGTCAGCGCTGATTGTAACGTTTGACGGCTTCATGACACATTGTAGTGAGAAAGCTGGGATAGGTAGCTTCTCGGTAAGAAGTGGGACACGTCCATCAAAACAAAGCATAGCCCGTCCTGCGGGAATGGACAATGTTCTCAATGTTACCAGCTGTACAAGATCTTTTTGTGCTTCTAGAAGGTCGGATTCGGACCAGTCAGGCTCAGGCAAGCATTCCGCTGTTGGTGCTTTCATCTGATTAAGAATTCTTGCAGCCTCAAAAAACCGTCTATCATCACGGAATATCAGCTTGGTTATACAGTGGCGGTCAGCTTCCGTAGAAAGTTCAAATGAATTAGTCAGGCTACTGTCGAGCATTGAATTTCCGATGTGTCGGACATCTCGAAGGGCATCGTGAGGCTGAATGAACTGAGAACGAGAAGATGGGAGATGAATGATCTCGCAGGATGTTGAAAGGAATAGATCCTCTCTATCCACAAGTTCGAGTAGTGACGAGCCCCAGGAGAGCGGAGGATCCCCTTGACAACTAAAAATAGCCTCGTGTAAAGGCGTGCTGATACCGTCGGGAAGAGTATCAATCATAGAGGCTGTGATACCCCAGCGAAGCAACAAGGCTACCCGATCTGGGGCAGATTGCTTATTTCCAATTTCAGAGAAAAGCCCGGTAAGGGCCAAGGTTCTAGGGGTTAAATTAACTGCTTGGTCCCAGATCCTACCGCCTCCAGGTTTGATGGTGGAGCTAGACACGACATCCATTAGCGTTAGAAAGGTGCAAGGAGTGCGCTGGAATGAATTCTCAATAAAACTGAAGATAGATGGGGGTGCGAAAGGCTCTGGAGGCATGTCCAGTCCTGTAATCCTGGTATCTTCGAATCCCCAACTGTCAATTCCAGGTGTTTCAGTGGCGTAGTAACTGCCTTCTTTCCAGGCCCAAGAATCCCAGCCCAACCATCCTCCGATCTGGGAAAGAATGGGGAGTAGGAGTCCTCTTTCGGAACGCGAGTTATCGGTATTTGTAATAGATAACTTTAGCTCCTCGCGAAGAAGATGTAGACCTACTAGGATGGTACCAAGAGCAGTTCTTCGTGTGCCTTGGTCTCGTGAAATAGCTATAGGAAGATAACCATCTCCACCAGTGGCTGCCTCGCCCTGTGGAGAGGAGAGGAAATCCCGAGCAAGCTGTGAGCATCGAGTAATATATGAATTTTTATCACTTGACTGGTTGTCTGCCTTGTGGTCGTCCATTGGTTGGTCACTCCGGGGTGCATCCGTTGTGTACTTGGTATTTTCTTCTCGTATCCAATCCCATGCAGTGGTAGTCATCCACGGCGCAGAAGTACCCGCCGCGCCTGATTCTTGGTCCACCATACTGTGCCAATCTGTCAAGTCAATTGAACTGCCTGTGCTAGATCGCATGAGGCTACATCTCTTTTCCCTTCGCAGCGGGGCTTTCGTGTCGGTAGAGATATCATCAATGAAATAAACGGCCATCGAGAAAAGCATGACCACCAGAGCAGTCCATTCCAAATTCTCTTCTCTCACGTCCCTTGCACGAAGCCATTTGAGAGCTTGCCACCACCCTATATGAATACCATCCCCAGATTTCTCCGAATGTCGTAGAACATACCGACAAAGAGAGAGTACCCGTCTAACAAGTGAATTGTGGGGCTGTAGCTGGATCTGTACCCTATGTTTTCTATTTTGTTCATCAATAATATCCACCTTACCATTAGCAGTAGAATGAGCGAGGCTACGCATAATCAAAGGGGTCTTGCATAAAACTCGTCTGTGGCCTCCTTCACGGAGATTTGAAGGAGTCGATTCCAGGGATATGTTGGATGGCTCGTAGAGAATCATACTACATGGAAGTTCTACCCTCACCAGGGTGCTCCATGGGGCTTGGATAGTAAGTTCTCCTCGACCGTCACTGGTAGAAGAAAGTACCAACATCCGTGAGATGTCCCTATCGACCAACTTGCAGCAGTCCAATACGCTTGACCCATGACGAACGTTGAGTGCACGAACTTTGTATGTGAAACCATTGCCTCTCTTTTCATTTCGACGGGCCTGAGGACCCAAAAGTTGAGCACTAAGGGTTACAACAACCAGATCTTTCGAATTTCGATTGAGGATGCAAACTGCCAGTGGTGTTGATTCAGAGTCCTTCAAGGTCGACTCGTCAGATGAAGACAAAGTGAAGACTTTAAACTGATGTACTTTTTGGCTGTGTGGGGGGAGGGCATTGGTGGTTACAACCCCAGATGGTACGCTTCCCACTTTCGAAAGGATAACTTCTCGAGGTAGATTAGACACTGTTTCTTTGATTCCCATACTTTCAAACCCATCAAAATCACCGCCGTTATTTAAACTCTCCAGAAGCTTATCAACAGGAGCATCAAGAAAGCTGCTACCATTGCTATACACCGATGCAGTCCCGGGAGGGAGGGAGCTTCTTCGATTGAAGCTCTGGCTGAGGCGAAGGACGCTCCCCCCAAAGGACTCACCCCTTCGTGATCCGCCGTGGAAGGAGGACTTAAGTTGGCTCCCCACAATGTCGGAGAATGTTGTTCTATCATTGGCTGCCATTAGGTCGCTACGAGCAAGTAAAGAGCTCACTCTCCTTGAAGCTTTAGACGTCACACCAACGTCCTCAAATTCCTGTCCGAGTTGTGCCGCAAGGTCTGCGGTACCCTCTTGTTTACTCTCAAAATTAAACTGCTGAGATGAATTCCATCCCTGACCATTTCCCCCAAAGCTTTCCCTAAGATTGGATGGTCCTGGACCGGTGGGCGTTGTCGTCCCCGTAGTAATATCAAAGTGGGAGCTTCTTCGTTTCGAGTGTGTGCTCGACGACTTCCTCCGCTGATTCTGCGAGGATACAAGGGATTCCTTGGGTCTGTATCGAGTAGCCCATATGTTATGCATTCCTAACTTCGGGTTTAGGGTGACCAGTAGAATCAGAGGAGAACTGCCCTTTGTAGACACGCCCAAAGGGATTTCACTAGTGGGGGATACATAGAGAAGTTCCTCAATTGGATTCAAAATATCAGTACGCCTATGGGTGTTGTCATCGTGTGAAGAGGAAGAGACTGCCACCAACCCCATTTCTGAGTGGGGGTCAAGAAGGGAGAAGACACGAGGGGCCGAGTCATCCTTTTCGGGTTTAAGAAGGAATTTTGAGGTTTGAGAGGGAGAAATCGTTAATAATGACCGATTTCCCGTCCCACTGGAGCGCTTAAACGAGGCAGAATGTCCCGACATAGGATGCATAGACTGAGAAGAAATGAAAGAATTTTGAGGAGCAGATGGTACTGGCACACCATGTTTCTCAGGCAACTTCCGTTGGAATAATAGCCCATTTGGGGTTGGCCATATCGAGTCAAGCTCAAATGGCAATGGAATGACATGACTATCACCAGAGATGAAGTATATGTGGATTTGCGATTTAAGCACTATGACCAGCGCTCTAGAGGGTTCAATACTGCTTTGATTTTCAAGTATACTGAGTCCTGGAACGCCACTGGAGTCCTTTTGGTCCTGGATGACAACTCTCTTGCGTATCTTTCCATTTAAGCGGCCTGAATTCTTGCTTTTGAGGGAGGTTGCAGTATGGTCCTGGGCATTTGCCTGGGATGTTTGGTCATTTGCTGATCCAGTTCTTCTTCCAGCATTCGCCTTGCCTGCAGGAAAATAGGTGAAGAGTGCTTCCACAATGCTCTCGCCTTCGACATCGAAATTGAAAGACCGCTTAACGATCCCACCGCGCGACCAGACGACGCACTTGTCCGTGTAGAGAAGCTCCTCTTCAATTATCCCGCCGTTCTCACCCTCAGAGTTGTAGCATCGCCACGTATAGCTATCTTCAGGTGCATCCGCAGGAAGTATTGACTCTGCTACCAGGTATCCGAAAGCTGATGGCTTGTGCAGACCAAGCGATGTTATTGCGGCCATGCTTCTTAACCACAGGGAAATGGCATTAAAGCCACACTCGGCCCTATAGTCATATCCATACACTGGAGATGTTGATGGTTAGGAGGCGTATCTTCAAAAATGTGACGTTTTTGTGTGATTGTTGTAAGGCCAAGCGTCAAGTCAACAAGCGCGCGTGTGAGATTTTTGACGCGAAGCTTACAAGCAGATTTTGTGGCCAAAACCTCCAACGCTTCCAAACTGCAGCAGAGCAGCCACAATAGCTAGCCAACGATAACAAGGATCGCTCTCTTGATTGCATGAGATACAGGGGCGCATTTTCCTTATTATTGTTCCGCCAACTTGAGATGCGTTAAGGTGCTCCTGTTGCCATAATCCACCTCGCAAAATGGGTCTCCAGTCAGACATGTCCAGAGGCGCCTTTGACCCTATTATTCACCCTCGACCGGATGGCCTCCAACTAAGGTATTTAGTTGATTACATGCTTACACTTGAAGCCGCATATCTAACAATTGAAATATAGCTACCAGTTCCCTCACCGTATATACGACTCGAAAGTTTATCCAGTACAGAGCCCCAACGGGTCCACGGTGATAATATATGGGCATGACTTTGGCATAAGAATACTCTGGCGAGGCGGCAAAAACTTCAAAAAAGAGAACCCCCAGCAAAATGGCTGGGCTGAGAAAGGCGCCGTGAATGGCGTCGAGAGTAGCGACTCCATCATGATAATCGATTCGGACGATGAGGAACCTCCTTCTCCACCGCAACCAGAAATTGCACTTCCGGTGTTCGAAGACAATGAAGAAGAAATTGATCCGTCACGGCCATTTGAGAATATTATTCAGTATCTTGATGTTAAGCTGGGAACGAAAGTTTTGGGGGTTGCGGTACCTAGCATTCTCCCCGGTGCAGCACAGTTCCTCAACTCGATTTCGCCCATTCTATCGAGCATGATAGTAGTAACAGTCGTCTGTAATGACTCTTCGGCACGCGTTGTTACTGTTCCACTTACGCCGCCTCCTCTCGGTGTTGCGGGTGCTGAATACTGGAAGCCACATATTGTCAGTCTTGGTGAGGGTTCTGTTCAAGGCCTTCCAGCTACCACCGCCCTCACATTTACGTGTCAAAGGCCAAAAGATGAAGATAGCAATCGACGATCTCAAAGCCGTGGGCGTGCCATGAAAGCTGCTTCCGCATCTGTCGAAATATGGGGTATTCTAATAGCCATCCATACGGCGGACGGGTCAGGGAAACTTTCCATATATCGAGTTCCCTTCACCGGAGAAACCGCGCAAGGAAACCTGTACAATCTATCCACTGAACCACAATTCCCAATCCGACAACATTTTCTTAAATCACCAGCTAGTAGCATATCTTTCTCTCCATGCCAATACCCATCAGATCGTCATTCACAGCTGCTGTTGTCATTCACGGATGGCTCAGTCAAGGTTTATTCATGTTTATCAAGGCCACAATCACCCACTCTCGATAGAAAGCGCCCAGGGATCAGTACGGAAATGAATGATACTAGAGGAAGATGGCTTATCACCTTGTATACCGAATTTGATCAGCTGCCTGGGGAAGTTCCTCGCCGTAAGTCAATAGTTGACGCAAAGTGGGCTCTTGGCGGTAAAGGTGTCATTGCGTTATTGTCTAATGGCGAATGGGGAGTTTGGGATTTTGAGGGCTCTCACGGCGAGATAATCCAGCAAGGCAGATCACCTAGCTCACTCGATTCCTTTGCAATAGCTGGACGCGTTTCGCCGTTGGAACGCACCGCCAGGCCTCAGGGTCACGCTGACCTATCAGAATCTAAACCCCCTCAATTTGCCCCATTAACGCCATCTACTCGTCGCATTCGAGAGGACGCATTGTTTAAGGGGACGTCAAACATTACAGCCCAGCACGCAACCAGAGGCGGAATCTGTATCGTTCCATCAAACCAGACATGGGATCAGCCTGCGGATGAATCAGTGCTATTATGGCATGGAGCACGAAATACATATATTCCTAGCCTTTTTAGCCTCCGAAACAAAAACAATAAACAAGGGCTATTCAGCAATAATCAGACTGGTCCACAACCAGCCCTCGTTGAAAATATTAATTTACTTGGTGAAATCCAAAAGGGAATACACTTTCTCTCTCTACCCAAATCGAATAGCAAGCACGGCCCCATCCCAACTATTCTTATAACCGCAGAACACAGACTCATCATCCTTGCGAAAAACCTTCTGGACTCTGCGGAAACTGGGCTGAAGTCGCAGTCGCAGGGTGAGAACTCCGTAGTTGAAGAGAATGACCAAACCATGCTTCAACGGGGAGAACTTGACTTGACAGGCATGGGCCGAGTTTTGGCTGGCATGACTGTGGGTGGTGAGGCGTCGTTTAATCGAGGCATTCAAGGTAGCAGCCTGTTTTCTTGATATTATGAGCCCCAATTTACCCTCTAACTTCCTGTTTTGATACCATTTTTTGCCCTATTGTTCAATGCTTGGAAGAGCTAAACGATTAGGACCCCCCCTTGTGAGAGAATTTCAAATATTAGCCAGTACTTCCTAACCATGCTGTCATCATCCGTGTTCTTGATCTATACTCTTCATGCTATTCTATCTCCCAATTTCGCGACGCAGGGTGGAGCACAAGGCGAGATTCAATGCCTTGAAATTTACTGTTTCCTCCGTCAGGTTGAAATGGCGAATAAGCTCTGTATTCGACGCGATATATTAAGTATACAACCCGTTTCCGCTCTGTCTAGCTATTGATACTCGTTTATTGATTCGCTTACAAGAGACTGGGTTGGTTCTCATTTTAATTAGCCACGGTATCCCGTGAGCTTAGTTAGTGTTCACTTTATGGTAGATGGAACGAGGACGATTGGATGCTCTCCATACTCAAGCCCAGGCCAGTTCTATGGCGGTTCTATCATGATGAGAACACCGTGAGATACAAAAGCATAACGTATGTGTGCCATCCGAACTGGTTTACTCCGTACTCCGGCCTCACCAAATTCCCTGATCCGGTATATTGTGCCAGATCAGGAAAGGCGCCTCTTGCTAGCTCGCGACGTTATAGATGGCCCTGGCTTCTCGTCTGCGCCTCTACCAGCTATATCGTCGCACTTATCACGTTCCGTGCTAAGCCGGAAGTGGGTGATATATAACAGTTACCTGTTAGAGCCGCCGGTGCTCAACCAGCCGTTTGGCCAGCGTCTCGGATATACGATACGCCGCCACCGCCACTTCCTGCCCACTCGGTAGGACCGACGTCTAATATAAATACTATCTTCAAGCCGTTCTTGAAGTTCATGCCGGCCATTAATTATATCCTGTGTTTAAGTTAGATGGCACCAATTATTACTACCAGGGCATGGTAGAAAGCGCCCACGCAACAATAATTATAATACTCAGTGAAGCCCTAATCTTCTCGTCAACTCAGCAGTAAGTCCCTTCTCGAACTGTAGCTCCCGGTGCAGGTCTTCAACCTCGTTCCTCAGGCCTCTCATCTCTCGTTCCCGTCGAGTGGCAGCAACGAAATCTTCTCGCTTTTGCTCCATGGTAGCTCTATCCACCTGGTCAACTTTGACAGAAGTCTGTAACTCTGAAATCCGCTGCAGCAATGCAGCCTTGCCTTCTAGTAAATCGGCAATGGTAGCCCTAGCCGCTTCTAGGTCGCCCTGACTGGCTTCCAATTGCACCTGTAGCTCCCGCAGTTCCTCATCATGCCGCAAAACCAATCGAACGTCGACATTCGATGTCTATTCTTCCGTCTCATGCAGTACAGCAGTCAGTCCGGTACTTAAGTTGGTAACCCATGGGACAGCTGGAGTCCCTCCTTGAGATGAATCACTCCCATGGTTCTTAATCACACCATCCTTATTAAAGTTAAAGGTCCAATAGAAGCCCAACTCTCGCTTCGTGACTTGTGCAGACGAGGCAAGTGAGTGCATTTGTTGAACATGACCCTTGGAGAGCTTCCTAAAAAATGGTGGCAGGTTAGAGGCTGACAGGGTCCCAATATCCTTTGAGAAGAGAGTCCAATCTTCCGTTGCAACTCGAGGAGCGCCATCCATATAGTCGAACGACTGTACCACGATCTTGGCTTTAGCAAATGTAGGACGATGCATGCCTGCAGCTCTCCTAGCTTTAGTGGGTGTGGGGGTATCTGAAGCCCCATCTGTATCTAAGACCCGAGGGTTACGTCTCCCGGAAGTCGGCTCCTCTCCGTCTTCACCACCTAGCCCCTCATCTTGGGGCTCCTCGTCCTCAACCTCTTGTTGTTCCAGAAGGTGATTATAAGGGGTCCAGGGCTGGATTCTAGGGCCTACAACCGGAGCGCTAGAAACGGAGGAGACTGACGCTTGGTCAGAGTCACTATCGTCCCAGCGGAGTGGGTCTCTTAAGAACGCTTCCAGCTCAGGTAGAGTGAAAGGGGGCAGTCCGCAGAGATGGCGGTTATAGTTAGCCTGGCTCAGATGCGTAAGCTTAAAATGTTCTTCACATTCTCTTGTTATATCCGCTACCTCCTGGGGGGTGACCATACGGCTTAGCCCTTTTTCCCTTGCGGTAGCCTGAAGTTCCTTAACCTTCCTCGCGGCGGCTGCCTCCAGCAAAGGAGTAGGCCTTAAGGATATTTGGGTAGAGGAAGGAACAAACGTTCTAAAGTCCTGGGCGGTATGGAAGGCCATAGGGGTGTTATTATAGCAGCTCCTAAGGGCGGAAGGTCTAGTGGAAAGGAACTGCCCGTCCGTATTGGTATAAATGACCCCTTGCGCGCGTAATTCGTCCCAGGCCTCCTGGGTAAGCAGCATCTGACGTTCCGGCAAAGCCGTAGACTCCGGTTCACCAACACTACTCTCATATAGTTTGTAGGGTCGCAAGTCAGCAGCAGTCATCAGGTACTGCACGAAGGCCTTCAGGGAACCCTTTGCGGCAACTGAATACAAGTTGATAGCCCAGGAGAGCTGAGGAACTCCTTGAAAAGAGAAAAATAAGAGCACGGAGACATGATAAGGCTGCAAAGGAGAAAGAGTTGAGGTGTATGATGTCCAAGTCAAATCCTCCCACGGGCACGAGGAATAGCCTGAGGGCCTATCCCATACATGGAAGGAGGCTAGGGTCTTCCCACTACTGACGAGGAGCATGTGACGCTCCCTCTCGCGCAGATGTACTCGGGTGAGTGAGTCCAAGTCGTATTCGAGTTTCAGAGGAGTTTGATCTGGTATATCCTTCGAGGCGTCCGGGCGAATAGCGGCCTTGAGGTTGGCAGCCCCCCACGCGGTCCAAAGCTTGAGATGTCGGTTCGTATGATGGGCATAACTGCGCTTCCAGGTATCTGAGTCAAATAGGTCCAAGTAATTTGGGTCCTGTAGTTCTTGTAACCTGCTGTAAATTTGGATGGCAGTAGGAGGCCATTTCTGGCCGAAAGTACTCAGGGCCAATTCCACTAGTTGCTGGACGGTCCTTGGGAAATTGCGCTGGCCACATGGTTCCTCAGCTACGCCCAAGTCAAAGGTCGATAGATCGTAATCGGCGATGGAGTATGTTTTTGGCTCTATCCCGCGAGACTCGAGGTCGTCAGTCCCAGCCTTTCCGGTCCTCGCCGACTGACCCTGTCCCATTATAGAGACCTGCAATGGGGAAGGAGAAGAGTCTAGGGATGCCATAGGGCCTGCAGAACGCCGGACGGATGGGTAGAGAGAGTTCCTGGCGTTTGGAGAGGAAGAAAAAAAAAGATAGTAGTGGTAAGTGAGAAGACGAAGTGAAAAGTGAGAACGCGTGAGGACATAAGATATTACCACCATAGCAACGCGCGAAGAGAAGCATAACAAAGCACAGGGCAAGCTTTGCAATATAAAAGAAAAGGATATAGACTAAAATAACTAGTGTACAAGTAAGGATAAGAACATTTGGACCCTCGGGGCCAAATACAAGGGTTTATAAGAGGGAAGAGAAGACAGGACGCCTTCTCTTAAGGGTGGGAGGTCGAATGGTGCGGTCCTGATAAGACGATGTGTATATACTGTCCGACAACAGGCCTGACCTAGGAACAAATAATTTAAGATCTTGGATATGGATCTTGTGCTTGAATAAAGTGCCGTCTGGGTAGGCTACCTGATATGACATGCCCCTATCGGACGATGGCGCTACAATAACAAAAGGTCCGCGCCAGGGGGGGGGTAAGTTTCTTCGGCTTCTTAGTCCTGACGAAGACCAAGGAGCCTGGCATTCTCTAAGTAATATGAGTCCGCAAAGGAGTCAATATTCCTGGTATGAGGTGGAATAGTCCCATCCTTATGGAAACAGTAGTAAGGCGAGAACCAAGAGGAAGACCTGTAATCCTTATCCCAGTCAGGGGGGCTATCCAGTTCGGTAGCCAGCACTAGGGCACAAGAGGCAATCGTCGGGGGGGGGGGGGGGGGAGAATATAGTCCTGGAGAGGGCATCAGCCACTTGGTTCCTTGATCCCTCTATATGTTCTATAGAAAAGTTCAGTAGGCGCATAAAGGAGACCCATCTGGGATATAGCCCCTCGTGGGCGTCACTGGGAACAAAGGTGACCAGGGGCTTATGGTCCGTCTTGATAACAGCTGGTTTGTGAGGGTTCCGGAATAAGTGCGAGTACTTGCGTAGGAAGGTGATAATGGCCAGGAGTTCTCGTTTGTAGGTATGGTAGCGTCTTTGGGTGTTATTTAAGACAAAAGAGTCGTAGATCAGAGGCACTTGCACTGACGCCTTCCCGGTCGGAGATTTGACCTCTCTTTTCTGGGCTAGTAACAAACCCCCGGCATATGCTGAGGCGTCAGAGTACATAATGATAGGGTTCCTTCCAGTCAATCCCGTGCATAGTGATGGTCCTTGTAACTTCCTTGAGTAACCGGAAGGCAAGGTCCTCAGTCTCCGTCCATTTCCAAGGTACCTTAGGACTTTGCAAGAGGCTTGGCGACCTCTTAAAAGTTTTTAATCCAGCGTCTGCAAATAACTATGGCTCCTAAGAAGGACTTCACATCAGTCCTAGACGTGGGAGTAGGCCAATTATACAATTTGGATACCCTTTCGGGTAGGACAGACAGGTGGCCGCCGACTCGGTGTTTCATTCCCAAAGCAGTGACCTCAGGAACAAACAGCTTAAGCTTCTTGAATGATAACCGGAGCCGAGCCCACTCGATCCGAGGAAAGAAGTGGTCTCTTAGGAAGGCGAACTGCGCCTCAGGACAAGAAGCGGCCCCCACGATGTCATCAAAGTAGTATGCCATCGGGGGAGGGTCGTTCGGGGAGGGGGGGTCGGTCAGGGCAGGCTCTGGGTCCGGGGCGGGTATGGGCCTAGTGACTATAGACATCATAGCTTCCTCATCATAGTAAAGCAGGCTCCCTTAGTGCCTTGCGGGAGTCTGGTCGGTTGTATCTGGCCCAGTCCAGGAATGTTAAAAGCCAGGATATAGCAGTCATCTTTGTGGACCGGGATGGCGAAGTAAGCATGCTTCAAGTCGGCCTGCCAATAACACACAATCCTTGGGTCAGAACAATAATCCTGCATCTTAGAGGCCAGTTGTATTTCAACTTTAGGTAAGTGTTCGGGAATTTGAGAATAGTTAAAGGTCAAGCGAGGCTCATCCTCAGGCCCAGCATAGTCGGACTTAGGTACGAGCACTGCCCTAGAGTTCCAGGGTGAGAGCCTTCCATTAGCAGTAATAGTAGGTTCAAAAACATTACCGTGGAGTCCTTGTTGTATAAGGGTTCTCAGCCAGTATTCTCCTTGTGGGGTCCAGCGCTTTTGCGATCTCACGGAATAAGGCCTGCACCCATCCTTCAGGGTTATCCTGTGTTGGATTAGATCCGTGCAAGGTAAAGTGGGCAAATCTCCACCGTTCAAGTAACGATAGTGATACAGAAGGTGAAGCACCGAAGGTCGTAGGTAAGCAGGGCACAGCGACCCTATAACAACTCCTAGATCCTTGACCCATTGTTCGAGTTGCTCCAAAGAAAGAGGGGGGGGTTTTATAACAGGCCTGGAGACTCGCCGGTCAGTAGGGAACTTCCTAGAGTCCTGGGAAGATAGGTATTTGTGTGTCCAGTCCGTAACTTCAGCCGCAGCGTCATAGACGTCCTTAGTGGGTTTATCCGGAACACATGTAGTAGCGCAGGCCTCATCCCGCAGGGGCGTACGAGGTTGAAGAACTTGTCTGTCATGAGTATTGATAGAGGTATTAAGGTTGGTGGTGATAACGCAAGCAGACAACTCATAAGTATCCTTGTCCGGGTCAGAAGACTGAGAGAGAGTTAAGTAGTTGGCTAACAAGGAGTCACAGCTGGGATAACAATAGGGCAGGGGCCTTTTAGAGTCCTGCCTAGGACTATCTAAAAAGTGGAGTCGGTGTCGTTGTCCTCATCGTTCCCGGAGTCTTTATTCTCGGATGAGCTAGGGTCCCCTTCCATAAGGGGATCAGTAGCAGTATTAGGATCCGGAGCACCCTCTGTAGCCTTTAGTAGTCTAGCCGGATAGATAATGAGGTTATGTTCGCGCGAGATCCCCATAATAGGACCTTGCACCTTTGTCGGTGATTCTCCTAAACCCTTGTCTCCTACCATGACTGAGGAGTTCCTGATAGATATAACAGCGTAACAGCCTATAACCAGGGTAGTCCCAGCAGAAGTTGGGGAGAACTGGAGCTATAAGTCTTAGCAGGTGAGATAAAACAGGTAATGGTCCTCCAGATACCTTGGACCTCTATTGCAAACTTGGTATAACGCGTTAGAGGAGAGGCGTTACAATCTGCAGTTCTCATAGACAATCCTTCAAAGCCAACCTCCGAAAGCGGTCTGATGTCCAGGCCCAAAGTCTCAGCCAGGGGGAGGCTGATAACATTTAAATCCGAGCCTTGGTCAGCTTGGACCATATCTCGCAGCAGAGGGTGTTCCGTTCCGTTAACTCTCACAGTACAAGGGATCCTGAAAACCTTGTCATCCTTGGTCAATAGGGACAGGAGCTTGGTACACTGCCTCGCCTCAGTCACTGGTCCCAGAGAATTGACATGTAGGGAGAAAGAGGTGGGAGCCGCTTGCTTAGCTGAGGGAGGGGTAGGGTCCAACTTGGCCCTCTTAGCCGGATCAGGCTGTTCCTTGGCCTTGGGCTTCTTGGAAGATCTCCTAGTAGTTAGGCGTTTAACTTCCTGACAGGCAGCTGGGCTCCAGGCCAGTAGGTCTAGGAGAGTAATGTCTAGTTTAGCCGTCTTAAGGATGTCACGGACCGAAAGTGGTTTGTCTTCAGCTCCCTCCTCTTTAGTAAAAGCTGTAATGGGGCCCAAATGGTGATCCTTGGGCTTAGCGGGGGCTTTGGGCCTAGCTAGATCTGAGTCATACAGCCTTATGGGGTTATACCGTACTCCATTGGTGAAAATGACCATATCACTCAAGGCCACACTCCGAACTCGGGGTGGGAAATCCATAATTACCAGGTGAAGGAAATAGCCATGACAGTTAGGAAGGCGACAATGATTCTGCCAAACGTATTCCTTGGTCTTGAACATCCAGTCGTAATAACTGGCCTCCTAAGATATAAAACACAAGGTGGTTGTATGGCAAAATACGACGGTCAGATGTAGTGGGCTTTATAGCCTCTTAACGGACGGCTAATATTGACTGCGAAAGAGGAGTGGCCGCCCCATTGAAAATTTCGAACTCACACAGCGGAAGGGTCGAAATGGGGCAAATCGTTTGGCCCACAGAAGAACAAATCTGCGTCAAGCCGAGTCGATATGTCTTCACATATCGACCACAGCGAGAGGGAGTAGCTTGTCGTGCCTCTGGAGCCACAATGTATTCCCAAGGGTGTGATATAGTCCCCATCCTTGGCAAAAACCAGGCTGCCAGAGTCTCCCCCCTCTGCATATGGTTCCTCTGCGGAAGTCCACTGGACCTTTAATCGATACAGGTTTTCCTCATGATCATCCTGCCTGATCTGTCGCAGGAACCCCGTGGTATAGGAAGATGCTGCACCGTACTTGTAGACTTGGACTGGCTCCTCCTCAAGCAGAAGCTGTCTAAGACGGTCAATATCGCCTAACTTTGGGTCGAAGGCGGACAAGGAAGAATCGTCGCTATCGTTAATGGTACGGTCGGGGTTGAGACGGTTGCAGTCAACATGCTCACCCACTCTCCGTAACGCGGAACGAGGTATCTGGTCGGTCTCGAGGAGACATGTCTCGTTGAGTGACGCTAGAAGGGGGTTAATGGGTTCCCCTCTTCGGAACAAGGGAACCCCCCCCCCGATCCGCTCGAACTCCGGAACGATCTGCGACTGATAAATGTTATCCTCTTGTTCTTCGTCCTGTATTCGGATTGTTCTTGCATCGTCAACAACGTGACCAGCTGTGACGAGGACCAATCGCCGCTCGCCAAGCTCTTCGATCACGGCGACGTAGCCAACAGTTCCGAAAGAGAATGTGCTATTAAGATTTAATGAAAGTGGATCTGGGACAATAATCTTACTTCCAGACTTAATAGTGTCCGGGTAGATCTCCTCTGGTTCCTCGCGAGTTAACTTGATGTTCGGCAAGTCACGCAAGTCCTGAGGCACGACTGGCGGGCTACCGTGCCAGAAGAACTCAAACACGATATATCGTGGAGATGTATTTAGAGACAAGACGTTGCTATGAGTGCTACCAACGATAATAGTATTAGCACAATCACGCAATATAATAACTATCATGGTGTGGCTAAACTCACGTCTTGAATATCGCAGCGAGAGAAGGGGTGATGGCATGAAAGAGTGCTTGAGCGGCGATAGCTTCTGTAGTAGTAGCGTCCTCAAACGTCCTGGGAACGTAGGAAAAGAGAATCTCGGGAGTCCATCTGATACCATCACGGCTATGGTTATGTTGCATGAAAAGAAGAACGTGGCGCAGCTGCTTCGCGTCAAGGCGTATGCTTCTGGTCAGTCGCGATTTTCGCCGATGCTGGTCTATGAGGCCCTTGTGGCCGGGTCTATCCCCAGGCGCCCAGAAGGAAGGACAAGCATCATCAGAGCCCAAAGAATATTCAGTTGGTTGGGTGCGGGGTGAGAGGAGTGCTGAGCAGTTAGAGGAGGAAGATCCCTCCTTGCGTTCAAATTCGTGAGCCATGGTGAAAAGACAGCTTTGCTTGAGGAGGCGAGCAAGGAAGAGATGTAGGCTGGTTGGTATTGGGCTTTCGAGTTGCGAGCGCGAGTGACGGCGTCTGTTTGGCGGCTTGTGGGGGAACAGTGCAGCGGCTTGCTTGCTTTTTGCTTAGTCCTGCGGCTCGTAACTCTCTGGTCCACAGGCAGGCTTCTTCGGATTCACTGTGCCAGTCACTTTTATTCTTGCAGTTGATGGCTTATGTCGTTGTCAACAGTGAGGCAGCTGGTGATGACGAAGTCAAAGTCGATGAAGTCGAAGTCGAAGTTTTCCGAAAGAGGAAAAAGTTTGTGGATCGCAGCTTGTCCTCCGTACCCACGTGACTTTAGTGAGCCGGACGCTTTATTAGTAATATTATATAATCAAACAGTACAAAGGTTGAAGCCAAGGGTTTGAAAGCACTATAGTTTGTTTCTATTTTAACTCTGCTGGTCAGAGCTTAACTATTTTCCGTTCTCTACTTTAACCTGTATATAGTGTATAGACGCTGACATTCATAGTCTATAATTATATCTATTGGGCCGAGTCTAGATACGTTGAATGGATCGTATCAATACTTCATCTAGCTATTGTATGCATAAACATTATGTAAGTTTATGAGCTGCCTTAACTTTATTACGAATTCGGCAGATAAACGCCAAGAAACTCTAACCAGGAACCCGGAAAAGTGGATCGAGTTGATATTATTAGTCAGCAACGTGGCTATCACAACGAGTACGGAGTAAATCAGGGTTATCTTCCCCTTGGCAATGCTACATCGCTACTGTGCAGCTCTTGAATTTTCATCAGACCCCTCTAAAGACTCAGAGTATCGGAGATTGTGGATATAAGTAATCACTCAGTGTGCGTCTAATGAAGGTCCTAGAGGTGGGAACCTCGGCCGGATTTGCAAGGCTCTCGTACCTAAAAGAAAATGACGGCTGTGACGCTTCTGGGCATTTAGCAGCTTATTAGGGAAAGGAATGGCAAGATAAACCCGATAGCGATCCACGTAATGCACGATGAAATAATAGAGGCCTCGCGGTGAAAGCAGTTTCTAGTGAGTATACTGGCGGTTCACTCGGTGTCCCAATCGCCAAGGAGCCTGAGAGGAGAGGGTTTGAGGGAGCCCACACGCTACTAAATCCTTGCAAACCCTCCCGCGCAAAGAGAAGTCCTCGGGAGAGACAGAGGGATCTTCGACCTTGCTTCCCATAGGTTACAAGATAGAATACCCAGCTAAGTGCAAACTGCTATGTTCGCGGCCCAAGCAATCCCACAGTCCCTTCGTTGGGCCTACTTCGAATGCATATCCGATATCCGAGATATATTCGAACTCTGAAAGCTTGAGGCGACTATGATTAAGCAGAACATTATCATGCTGACGATCGCCACGTGCTAACATCGCGCCGGTAAGATAATGTTTGACGTGGTTAAGGCCAGGTATGAGAAACCCGATTGAAAGAGCCAATACAAAATGTGCTAGGCCATGATTAGTCGTCGTTGAGATAACGGGTAGGGTGACTAACACTAGAAAGATCAATATTTTCAACCAGCCAGCCTTCCAAACACCCTACGTCTATGGAGTGGGAAGCATATCCAAAACGTAGACCTCTCACTCGATAACATATTCCGTAAATAACCGCGTAGAACACTCGGATATATATCAGATCTTCGCCTGGGATGAAGGACTGGATCTCTTCTCTTACTTCTCCCAATATATCCGAAAACCCGCTTTTATGGAGGATCTTAACCCCGCAGAGGTAGTTAGATAAAGGCTCTCTATATACTGTGATACTAGATACGGCGGTGAGGTTAGCGGAGGATATAAACACTATATATGGTTGAAAATTCCTGAATCCAATAGTTGTAGTTGGGTACTGTGCCGTTGGTAGAAAAAAATTAGTGGTTTTTTGCTGGTACTCGGGCTCCCGCTGTAAAGCTCCGACGATAGATATACCGTTTATTTCCTTAATAATGTTAGCTAGAATTCAATATAGTACAAAGAAGAGCAATGTAATAATAGGATATATTAACCCTATTGCCCAAGTAAGTGCAAAATACCCCGTTAGGCGACACCGAGGTATGCCATTCGTCCACTTTTGGGTTCCCAAAGATGATACACCTTCCAAAGCTCGTGAAGAACTAACATTTCAAGTCAACCTTTATGTTTATTAGGGAATAAAATGAGAGATTTTACCTTGACTGTTATATGAGTGGTGTCAACTGACTTCGCACAGGCAACTCCGATGAATATTTCCCTTGCTTGGGTGTTAGTACAAAACGAAAGTTTTGTTGATCGTCGATCTATATTGCCAGCACAAAGCCTTATACCCCCGAAGTTGAACTCGAAGCCTGTAATACTCTGAGTCGATGGCTCAATAAACGCACTTATAGTGTCGGCAGTTTCCAGCTGCCTATCAACATAGCTAAGAGGCAATATGCCGTCAGTGGGCCCGCGGTCTGCCAGAAAAACGGGTATTAAGTCTTGAGGCGGGAGCCGGGATTTCCAGGATATAGATCGATGTTGAGGTAGGCCTGTGGTATGAGATAGTGATATCGCATGGATTTTAAAGGCCTAGCAAGGATGAGCAACGAATGTCACCTTACGAAGAGAAAGAAAAGAGAAAGCGTACATCAAATGAGACCGCAAACTTGACAGGATATCCGATGGGCCATTCGATCTGAGTAAACACAAGGTCCCCCGAATCAAGAGAAGATCCGTACCAACTCTCTTCCCATGATGTGTTCTTCACTTGCAAGGCTATAAAGCCTTCGGCATCTGACACCAGGCGCAGGCCACAAAGTTCTTTAAGTGATATTGTAACCGCTGATTCGCCTTTGTACCCAAAGCTATTCAGCTCCGTCTGGAAACCGCACAGGTAACTACGGCCGGGAATATGACTAAAGTTGAACGACATTTTGGGCATAGGATAAAAGTCGATGATGTGGTCGATCAAACCTTTCCACCTTATTGGATAGAGAAAGATATAGCGTATTGAAGGATTTTCGTCTATACCAAAGCAAGGCTGCCCTATCTTTGAAAATAAAATTTCGACATTGTCCCAAACCGAGCTGTAGTTGCAAATGTGGGGTATAGAGGTTGCACGATAATGAAGATTCCAAAGGATCCTCTCGATCTTACTTGACACTTCTTCCCTTGAGCCTTTAAAGAATAATGACCCGTAAACAAGATATCTTCGTCCAAGGTCGAACCATACTCTAGTGTCTGGTTTTACCCCGGCTACTTCTCTTAGATGACACACATCCTGGTAGCACAAATGCCGGTAGATCATCTGAATAATCTCGTATGGGAGGGGGAATCTGCTGCTCGTGCTTCTAAATGGAGATTTTTCCACCAGCTCGGGGCCAATATTCTCCACTTCATTGGGGATCTCAGGGCTGTGTGGAAACCGCATGCGAGTAAGAAAAGGCGCCATATCTTGGAGAAGCCGACCAAAGTTGTCAAGCCATTCAACCCTGACGCTTTCAGCTCCAAGAGCTTTCGCCACAACCGACCAGCATAGGGAATGCATCATATACTTGACACCCCGTGGGATAAAGGTTGTCGATGGGCCTACAAGCGGGCCAGCGCCCTTCGCGCTGTTTTCGAGCTGCGGAAGCTGAAACACTGTCCTCCACTCATCCCTTCCGGAACATGTTGAGTCAATTGTTTTACCGCACAGAAAGCAAAGTCCACAGTAACCCATATCTTCGAGTACAACTTGCGTCGATTAACGGATGGTGGAGTTTCGAGTAGCGGGTTAGTTAGGTGGAGAGCTTTATGGACCAAACTGGCGCCCGCACTAAGCCCAGTTAGTTAAACTGGGGTTAACATAAGGTTGTAGCTACGTCACATGATTTACTAGTTCAGTCAACTGCTTAGTCATTTCACGTGTTTCTGATTTCTTGTAGCTAAGATAAATCATTGATAGCAAGTTCCTCAGTTAGGGTCGAAAACATCTGCGTTCTTAATAATATCAAAAACCTGCACTATGGCCGCCGCGTTGTTCTTTGCATCCATATAATCAGACGCCAGTGGTTCTAATATTTCCCTGGCCTTTGTTACCCTAAATCCCATCACGTACGTGCCCACAACCCGAAGAGCAAATATCTTCTGTTGATATCTATGGCCGTTTTGGAGAGCATTTTTTGCGTATTCTAATACCTGATCGTCTGCGTAGTGGTCCTGCGACATAGATTGACGTTGGGGTTTTGCTTCGACGACGACAACGTCGATAGGCTCATGGTTTGGCCAGAATCGCTCGATACCAAAGTCCGGCCGCCTACCGGTTTCCTGGCGTTTCTGAGGAGTAACAATCCAGCTGTCGGCGCCAAAGATATCATTGAGGAGACGGTTCCATAGCCCGGCTGTAGGATCCTCGGCCGTGTCTCGCAATACTCGGTCGTACTGGATTGCGAGGGCAGTTGTGTTGATTAGGCCTCCCTGTGACGGCATAACTTCTGCAGGTACTGGCTCTACTTAGCAGTGGGTATAGTGGGAGTTCATGGTCGACCTACCAATAACCAGCAAAAGATATGTGAGACAACGTAAGTGGAAGGGCAATATAACTAGTTAAGGGCCGAAGAATCAAATCAAAGCGAAACTGAGATTTGAGCCTGTTGACAACTCGTTTTTACCTTAGGACATCGGGGGATTCACCCTTTTATGTTCGGTTTTTTGGGGCCTGCCAAATACAAAGGGCCATAGAGTCTATTGTGCTCGCACTTACTTCTACACTACATGATCCCATGTCACAGACACTCAAAGTGTGCCATCATACGAGACATACATAGGTTGCTAAGATACACGAGGCAAGCCAAGCCAAAATCCTTAATCCTACCAATTCCCTGTACTTTGTTCATGCCCTTACATCCGTAGGAAGCATGTTTTTTACTACCAATACTGAACTAACCAGACCAAAGCAGCAAAAAAGCCTAATATCCAATGGGAACTGTTGGAAGCTATTGGTTTTAGGTTACGAATCATGCGCTAGATATGATTAACTAATAGAAATAAAGGAGAAGAGCTATAGAACTGTAGTTATTCATAAATTCATTCTAGGTATTTATAAGTTATTAATGACGGTTTAAAATTCTCATCCCATGGTTAAAGATAGATACTGAAGGGGAATTAAGTGGACGAAGCATGCCGTAAGACTTATGTTGTAGAAAAACTCACGCTACCATCTGTCGGGAGATATCTGGCGACGTCTCCGTGCAATGAGAGCGGTGTGAACGGCTGATGGGCCCTGGCTGTGAATTATTATTATCAAGCTACTCCGCTGGAGCAAGGTACCCATCCAGATAGCGTCATGCCTCAGCCGGTACTAGAGATGATCTCGGGCGCAATGTGCCAATGGAGTAGCTAACCGCCCGGAAACCAAAACTTGTGGGGCAGATGGACGTAACTAACACAAATTGATCAACCAAAACTGGAAATTATGTGTAAGTGCAAGGCTGAGACGCACCATCAAGGAGGGTAGAAAGGCGTCCATGTCCAAGGGAGCAGTGGGGTTTCTTTATAGATAATAACATTGCTCGACGTCTTGCTTCGAATCCAGACGTTGGAGCAACTCTAAGTTCGCTGGGGGCTCAAAAAGAGTTTTGTGCTGCGGCCCGCATGTTTAAGATACGCCGCATCGAGCTATACCTAAAAAGGAGCGACTACAGTATAGTCGCTCTATTTAGGGGGTTGCAGCGCCGCCGACATAGGGAGCAAAACTCACGACAAGTGGGCTCGTCCTCTTCGATTCCAGTTTATGTCCAACCATGGAGCTTTCACTACGAGCGTCTCCATTTGATGTGGACGATATTCGACACGTTGAAGACCTTGAGCGGGAGCTTAGAGGGGCTCGAAGATATATTAAAGATCTTGAGCGGGAACTCAAAGGAGCTCGAAATTTGATAGATTCGCTCTGCCTCCCCAGTCCCCCTACCGGTTTTGCAGCGCTGGGTGAGCTGGTCGATGCTGCTCCTATTGTTGGGTTTCCTTCGTTGCAGGCGGCAACTCGAACACCTGGTTTCGGCGCCGAGGCTGCTCGACACCTAACAGACAGTCAAGCCCTTCCTACAAGCAATTCTAGCGGCAAAAATCCTAGTGGCAAAGAAAAAGGTTTCACATTCGTCCTTTGCGACCCATTAACCGAGACGAGTTTGGCGGCGCCACGAGAAGGGTTGAACAAAGCTCAAGTTAGCTTTCTCTCGAGCATTCCTCAGACCAAAGATTGGAAGGTACTCGAAGCAATTACTGAAGCGCAGATATATCGGCTTTTACTCCGTCAAGATGTTCGATTCAATGATGAGGGTGACTCATCGTCCAGAACCAACACCAAAGCCGCTCCCGACCTTCACTCATGGGATAAAGGGTGCTATCACTATGCCGTTAATACCTCCGGGTCGATACGGAAACATTCAGCGGATGGAAACGCATTGAACTTCCGTGTTATTATTGTAATTCTGATGTGCACGGTGATGTTAAAAACGGGAGTTTCGGTCGACTCGGTTGACAACATAATGAAAACCTGCGTTGGTGATTACGCCAAAAAGACCTTGCGAACATACCGGAAAGCAGCAAAATGGGTCAACAGAGTCGCTTTAAAGTGTATCGAGAAAGGATGGGGAGCTAGGAGTGCCGAGCTCTTATACAGGTGTACGTCCCAATTGCCCATATGTGTGTACCTTACGGCAGCTAACACAAGATAGTCAGTCCTAGCATCTGCAGTTATAATTATATGTGCTCAAGCACACAAAGCTTTGATGATGTTATAGCTGGAATAGAGCGTAAAGGAAGCCCTCCGCCGCCGTTAGACGATGAACAGATGCCCATTTCTATTCCTTGTGTTATCAAGTACCTCGCTGGAGAAAATATCTCGTAGGTCTCCGATCCTTCGCCCTATCGACCATTGGCTAACACCAACCCAGGCTGGAGGTTATCTGTAGAGCGCTTTCCGACGGAGCACTTTCCTATGACTATGAAGATACCCGTCGAATATACGGACTATTTTATACCCCTAGATCAGAGGAGATAACATACCGCAATCCTCCCCCTTCACAAGGAGGGACGACGGCCCGCTCTAGTATCATTGATAGCCCTGGAAGCGCTGCAGAGGCTCAGAGCTTGTCCCCATTACCACCAGACGGATCGGAAGACGATTCCAGCGACTATGAGCCTCACCCCGAAGACGACTCAATAGGCAGTGGTGAGACAACAGCCTCCACCCCACCCTTTGCAGCCAACAGAGAGACCGATAGTTACCAACCTCTGGAGGTACTTGCGGAAGCCGCAGCCCGCTCGAAAGAGACAAACAAGCGGCCCCACCCTGCAGATAATGGTAGCCAGTGCCGCGATTCGCAGCGAAGGAGGTTGAACGGGAGGGGGAAAGGTAAGTACATAGCCCGCCGTGTCTTTTTTTCAGCGACCAAGCTGACTTATTGTGTAGGCAATGATCCTATTCCCACGCCCTGGACATATAATACTACCTTGCCGAACACAGGGCAACCGTCTATGGGGACACCGTTTGAGTTGGACCCTAACTTTGCGATAGATCCCACGTCCTTGCATAAATCAGCCCCATATCAGCCGCCTAAGAGAACAATAAGTATGCCATGCTGGGCGCTCTATCATATAGAATGCTAACAAGACCTAGTCCAAACAAATACAAACACAGATGTACAAACGGATGATCCTTTCTTTGGTGTGGATGCTAATGTACCGGATTTCGATAACATACCTTGCAACTATAATTCTGATTACATTCCATTCTGCGAATTTGACAATGATAAGCAGTGGGGCTTTGACCCAGATGAAGCCCCATTCTGTGATTTTGGCGTTGATTACTAGAATACCATATATCGCACACGTTATTCTCCTTCCAGGATTGTTATAGCCCTTTTTTATTGCCAATTGCGTCGGCCGTCAATGCGGATAAGCAGGAAATCCAACAAGCCATTGACAAATAGCGGGTCCCTAAACTCCACGAACTTTCCAATTTCTAGCTTCAGCGATATTGAGTCAGGGTTGCTCTCTGGGTACGCTCGAGGAGAAGAACCGCTCGGTATACGAAGTGGATACAGGATTGATACACGGTCGGGGTGGCTACCATAGATCCGAGTTGGGCGTGCGATTGTGCGTAAGAAGTGTTTAGCAACCATATCTTTATGTCCCTACAGAGGTCAGAAAAGAGGTAAAGGGTGAAGACATTGGTTCTTACCAGTTTCTCAAGCAGACTGCGAAATCTCTCCTCGAAGATCTGACGGTTACTATAAACCATCAGGCCATCGTCCCTGACCATAAATTCCGTAGCGGTTTGTAGCCACGGGGTCAAGGCTATGATTTCGGCATTCGTCTCATCCGTCACCTCGCCTAGTATAGGTGACTTTGCCTCGGAATTGATTAGTTTACACAGGATAGCAATGATATAGAGGCCCGTACCGAAGAAGTGCCTCCTCGCTTACTCGACTGTCATGTAATCAAGAGTTAGCGCCCCCGGGCTGAGGAATTCTGGTAATCGTCATGGGGGAGTTTCCGTACCTCGGGAACGGCTTCCGGCTGGCTGTTAGGTTGGCTTGCCATCTTGTAGCTAGCCTATTATATTTATATATATATTCATAGGCCAGCCAGACGCCTCTGAAGATTCAATTCTTTGCAACGAAGTTTCTCCGTCGCCCCGCCTGCGTCATGGAGGGGCCGATATAAAGCACGCGGCACATGACTTGTTATAGTTAATTAACAAGAAAGGTTAATAAAAAGCTTCTCATCTGATAAGATTGGCGGCCTCATCTACGACTATCAAAACGCAACAGTAGCCGGAGACAGGTTTAGATACACCTGGATGTCCCGTATTAAGGCAGATATGTCTGCAGATTTAGCTCGGGGCCTATCACCTCGTTCCCGCATCCCCACACATTGTGCGTCCTAGTCTCTGATTCCCTTAGTTTTTGTTGAACAAAGTCGTCCATTTCCTTACGCTCACCGTCCGTGAACTGGATTCTATCCTTGATCAAGGCTATTCTCTGCGCGTGCGTTTCTGTTCCGCCAAAGATCTTCCGGTCAATATACGGCCAGACAATATCTAGAGCCCAGCTTTTCCGTAAACCATAGCCAATCCAGAAAATACCACTGTCCCAGCTGTCACGCATTCTCTCCGAAAGTCGCTCCTCCGCATTAGATAAGTACCCATTGCGGATTGCAACATCTTCCCGGCTCTTCATGGCCCGTAAAAAGGTCTTGAGCCGTAAATTATAAGTCTCGGTCCAGTCTGATATACCTAAAGGCCAGTCTTCCGGCGTTTCCAAAAGTAGCCACCATGGAGGACTGTATGTAAACTCAGAGGGTGCGGCATAGGTAAACTCCCAATCGATAACGGCAACGATCTTGGAGTGTTCGTCAACAAGTATATTCGTTGGCCGCAAGTCGTCGCAGAAAAGCTTGAATTCACGGCGGGCTGAGGTAGCCTCATCCATAAGGTTTGACTTTGACTGCCTTGTGAGCTTAAGCAATATCTTTCTGATTATGTACTTACGGCGGCAATCCTCTTCCGACTGGATAGCATCGTTGCGCTGTGTTAATAAGTGTGTATATTGAGACTCAGCGAGGTTCTTAAAATAATCGGACGAAGATATAAAAGGAGACGACGGTAATAAAGCCCTAGGATAACCACCAAGCTGGACAAGCTCGTTCATATTCATTGTCAAGGGGCGTTTTGTGATAGTCCAACCGTTTGGCCCAGCAGCCAGGCAGCCAATCTTGCTAAACGAACACCTCGACAGCTGTAATATAATATCTGCCATCTGCCCGTATAAATACTCTAACTTTGATTCATCGATATCGGGGTCGAGTATAGGGCGGTCCTGTCTAGTATAGCCAGGTTTTCTTAGCTTCGCCGTAAGGTTGGAGGCGCTGCTGATGAATTCCATTAGGATATACGGGCCCATCCCACAGGGCCCTTGCATGCCCCAGTCAAGGATAGCTGGTACAGGAATTCTGGTATTCTCTTTAACAAAGCACATAACAGCCACCTCTGCTTCGGTCTTTTCCTCTGGAAACATACTCCGGCCGGAGGATGCAAGGCGCAGAAGGGAAGCAAATCCGTTATCGAACTCCATGCGGTAGCAGAAATTAAAGGCGCCAACTCCTATTATACGAGCACGATCACTGGGACGAGACGAAGGGTATTTTGCTGCCATAAATTCAGTGACAGCTGCCAGGACATCCGGACTCGACGCCTTCTTCTTAAAGGCATCAAAGGTCACGTCGCTCTGTTCCCAGGCCAAATCATCATAGTGCATCTCCATGGTTATTTATGTGCCATCTAAGGGCACCTCCAGGTGAAGGGTTTGTTCTTCTGAAGGACGATGAGACTTCAATCACATGACTATTCCCCTGGTGATTATATAAGCATGTATAACCCCTAATTAACCTTATTCTCTATAAAAGAGACTATAGTCTTTGACTAGGCAAGTGTCTTGGAGGTTGCAAGATAGCAGTAATGTTGATGTTGTCAGCTCAATTCAAGTTCACGGCCATGCTCCTCCCCTCCCATCAATAATCTACGTATCTTTGAGAGGCCAAAGAAGTCGTTCTGTCGGGCTGCGTAGACGGCACCCTCCATCGCCCAGCCGACCGTTCCCGCCTTCAGACCCAGTTTAGCCCCTTCTCTCTGGCATGAATCAAAGTCTACGATTACAGGATTGTCCCTCTCATCCACCATGATGTTTGATGGGTTAAGATCATTGTGTATGAGCCCCAGAGTATGCATATGTCCGATCCCGCTCTCGATGCCCTGTAGGCAAAGGGCTCTGTCGAAAGGAGCCGTCTCCGTTAGCCTCTGCGACAGGCTCATGGGGTATTTGGCAAAACAGAGCCCCGTTATCCTGCCATCTTTAGTAACACAACCTAGATACTGAGCTATGTTGGTGTGTGGGTGGCTCCGCAGCACCTCGCACGCTTCCACCTCAACCAGTACCTGGCGGCCTGGCTCCGAGGAAGCAGGAGTGTCGTCGTAATATAGCAGGCTCGGCTGTTTGATGTAGGAGTTCGGAGGTAATGGGTCGGGAGCGGGAGTGTAGCGGGGGTCCATCAGCGGCCAGACATTTTCCGTGGGGATTCTGCTGACCTTTAGCTGGCTGATGTCAACCGTAGAGCGGGAAGAGGTACGCCAGTTGGCCCTGGCATAGAAGTACTCGTTGTCTCGTCGCAAGATCAGCTTTGTATGGTCGAAGACAAGGTCACCGTCTTGTTCTATGAATGCTTCGCTCTGCTCGCATATCTCCATAGTACTAACTATTAAGCCCAAACGACTTAGAAGTATTATAGAATAAATTAGACTGAGACCTACCGGTGTGCTGTTTTAACGCGTATGCGCAGCCATGCTGGAGAGTGGTAATGCTTTTTGTCCCGGCTAGCAGTTGATTAAATGGGCAATATAGTGGTCTCGTGGCAGATATCTCTGTGAAGGAGATGTCAACACCAAACTGCACGTGACTGTGTAGTTTTCATTATTTAGATGAAGACTACATATAAAAGGAGAGGCAACCATCGTGTACCAAGTAGCAGGGTTTGGGAAGGAAGACATGCGTTCAAAACAGCTAGGATGGATGCTCTTCATTGCTTCTACTAGAAGATGCATTATTAAAGTACAATACATAAGAGAAAGGCAATCTGTTTTAACAACTAAAGGTGCAAGGTCATGACAAACTAGAGCAGCCGGGTGGACGGAGTGTATTAGAAAAGACAAAAGGGATATACAGGAAGGTATAAATTAGTGAAAGATAGAGGCGATGGGGGAAAAGAGACAGAGGAAAAACGATGCGGTATATGTAGGCATGGAAAGAAAGACATGCTTGCTTTAAAGTTGCTAAACAGGATGGATAAAAAATGATAGGATGAGAAATACCAAAGGGAAAAAAGAAGGGTGGGAAAAAAAAAGGAATGAAATTAGCTGAGTTGATTGATGGTAATAGGAAAAGGGTTGTGTCTAATCCTTTGCAAGGTATAGTATGGTAAAAGTACAATAAAACAAAAACCAAGCTGAAGAAGTTTTCTATGCTGGTGGAGTGGGAGGTGGTGGCCGTTGAGGCATAGGGGGTCTATCGTTGGTCGGACCGGGTGTAGGGGGTAATTTCTTATCTCTTTCAATGCCATTCCTCACCGCATTGTTGGTCCCATTGCTGTCGGTCAAATAGTTCATCTGCTTATTCGGACCAATGCCATCGCCATTTATCTTCGGTGGTGGGGGCGGCGGTGGCGCAGATACCGGCGGGGGGCCGGCTGGCGACCTTGCGGTGCGGAAACTATATCGTCTAGTTTCTATACTCATCCACTGTTCTTCATCTGCAGGGGCGTCGTCTCCTCCTCTGCTCGCATTGCTTCGCCCACTCTTGCCTCCCGTGCTGCAATTCTCACCCGCTTCCTCAACAACAGGCAACGTTGCAGTGCCGCCTCCACTAAAGTCCGCCGGAGCATTGACTGTCTTCAACGTTCGGGATGCTTCTGGGTGTCCAGACGCCGGCTTCTGGGCATCAGTCGATTTCTTTTCAGAAGGCGTAGGCTCCTCCGTTTGGGCCGGGGTAGCTTCGGCATTCTGCTTCTCGCGTTCTACTTCTTCCTTGGATTTGGTAATACTTGTAATAAATTCGAGGAAGCGTTCGCCGTATGCTTCTGGCGGTATGGGCGAGATTTGCGAACTGTTGTGAGAAAGCCCCTTCCAGAAATGTTCTGCTTTCTTTACCATGCCGTACTATCACGGGAGCTGTTTGTTAGTATCCGTATTCCACGTATGCTCATTGGATGTAAACTTACGTGTGTCAAACAGTCGATGACACCGAGATAATATATCTCGTCACCCGGATCGCCGTTCTCGTGGGTTGCCCTTAAACCACCGTCGTCTGAATAAAACACCAGATTCTTCCGTTCATCCAGTACCTCATCTGGCATTTTGGCAGTTGTATGCTCCATGGGAACCGGTTTCTCACGTTTGATCATCTCTCTAAGCTCTCTAGCCTTGCGTGCATTTTCCAATCTGGACGGTGTCCGCATGAGTAAGTTTGGTTGCTGTTCGTCCGCCAGATCACCCCCAGGCTGGAAAATCTGGAGCGTCCGGTCACGAAGTTTCTCTTCATTCCCCTTTTCCACGTCATGGATTCCGATCAGGAGGGAATAATCCATGATCTTGAGTTTTTGAAGAAGGGTAACGTCTCGGCGGAGCTGGGCGAGGAAAACTTCCCGTTTAGCTTTGCCGCAGTTTAGATGGCGGTTCCTCCTTAGCCAGTTCAGATCCTTTAGCGTTGCTCGTGGGTTGGCTTCGAGGTCTTCTTCCTTGAAGTCTCGACCGACCGTAGAACCCTTCAGGTCATACATTTGATGAATGTCTCGATGTGGGGGAAACAGGTTGTTCATGACAACAAAGTGTATCTTCCGGCCATAGGCCATCTTAACGCGATGGAGGCCATAGAACTGGGAGATAAGGGTATTGGGGTTATTCTCGATGTGTGCATAATATTCACGCAGTATCCTGCGGAGGAGTTTATGTTCGGCATGGTGGATGGTCTTGATGATGTATTTGTAGTCACGAGAGAAGTAGAAAAAGCTTCCACTTTTACCTGGCGAGCCTAATTCAGAGAGGATGTATTTGCTGGTCAGGGACATGAGGTAGTCTGCCGGATCAAGCTGGAATTTGGCGCGCAGTCGTCTAAATACCCAGGGAGCATAGTCTTTGAATTTAAAGTCGTATTTTGCTGACGGAGTCAATTCGTTTCCGGTACTATCAAGCTGTTAGCTGTGTCAAGGGGGCATGGGGAGGGAGTGGGGTATCATACATATCGAAAGAAAACTTATGTTTGGCGTCAAAATCAGCATCTGTGAGTTCCCGGTCGAGCTTCGCATTGGTCCTTGATACGGTGAATCGGATGCCCGTCAGCATGTTGTATGCGGTCACCCAATTCACATGATGCATGTCGACTTTTGTCCCAACGATCACGCGGTCTTCGTCTTCCTCTTCTCGACGTTTCCGCTTGCTGGCTCGGCGCTGCTTGAAGGCTTCTGTCCATCTGGCAGCACCTTCATCCTGCAGAGCTTCGTCGAGGTGAGGCTCCGACTGATTCGATCTAGGTGTGAGACGGGGGATGGTGAAAGAGCCGCGACGCAAGACAGAGGTTGGAGAGGAGACACGGTCAATGGGCAGGAGGGTGTCGTCGACGGCGATAGGGGTGGAGGTGTCACGGCTCGCTCTTGAGGAGGAGTGACGTGGGACTTGGAGGGTGTGTCGGTGAGCTAGACGAGCGCTCTGCAGGCTGGATGGAGAGGTGGGGGTATCTGAGGGTGCGGTTGTAGACCCTTGAGGGTGTGGAGAGGAGTGTCGATGGGTGTTGGGCAGCTCTGGCGCAAGGCCGGTATCAAGGCCTGTCGTAGGAGCAGCAGCAGTGTCGAGGTTGGTGGATTTGGGAGTAGGAGTTGTCGGTATGGAGGTAGGGATAGGTGGAGGAGGCCTGGTTGGAGCAGGCCCTACATCGTCGTTCTGAGACGAGGAGCTCGGTGGTGTGAGCTCAGCAGCAGTAGGCGGGTATCCGGTATAAGGGTGAGAGTAGTTCGTGGTGGCCTTCGAGCTAGGTCTATATGGCAGCCCATTGACCGTCTGCTGTTGAATCCTGCAAGCCTCTGCACTCGTAGTCTGTTGTTGACTCTGGCCTGTCCCGTTTGTCCAGCGTCGTTCATGATGTTCATCGACGTTTGCTTCGTGGATGCCGTTTGTCCTAGCCTCGTCCGCCATTGGGTTGGAGGAGACGACACGCCCGTTCCTTAGCGAAGAGTCAGTGCTCTCCGTCCGCTCTCGCGATGGAGAGACAGATACCGTGGCGCCAGCCTTCGAATTTGGGCCTTTCGAGCGACCGTCAACAAAGAAATTCGCTGAAGCGGTGACTCCATCTCCGGTATCTCCGATTTTCAAGTCATGATTCCACAGGATATGAGCAGCAGCTTTGTTATTATCGTGAGATGCCTTGGACGTCGAGTGGCCAAACAGAGCGGGCGAAGTGGCCGTGGCGGCAGCGGCCGTCTTCGATCCGGCAGCGGGCTGGTGGTGATGAGTATGCTGGCGGGCTGATGTTGATGTATCCGGCGAAGAGAGAGCCGGCATGGTTTGGGGGGACAGCCTCTGCCTGTGAGCCGGAGGCGAGGGAGGCTGCTCGATGACCAGATAGTCGACTCTCCAGTTTCCTTCAGCCTTGTCTTCTCCGCCTGTGAAGGCTAACATAAGTGTAGCGCGTTCTTCGTGGAGGAGTTGTCTGTAGAAGGCTGTCTCTCGACGTTTTGGCTGTGCCAGACACGGCTAACCCTTTTCCAACGACAGAGAAGTCCGTAAACACGAAGAGACTCCCAGTCAGACGCAGAGTGAGCAGGCTCTTCTGCTCATGATACGACGAGAAGAGTTCGTGGACGCCGTTGATGTCGGAGGATGAAGTCGAACAACTTCTCGATGACGACGTTTTTTTTTTTTGACTGTGCGATTCTTCCGGTCAGCAAACCCAAGGAAACCAAACCAGAACCAGAGATGGAGAAGAAAACGCTTAACGACTTACCAGACGGCCTTCGACTTCGACTTCTCTCTCTCTTCGGCGGCTCGTCTGGATGAACAGATGAAGATGTTCTTCTTGTCTTGCCAAGCACGAAAACAAGTCGTTTCTTCCTGTCAAGCCACAAAAACCTCCAGGTCGACCAGCGAGAAGAAATGCCAGCAAACTAATAAAAAGCCAGCAGTCAGGGATACGAGTCTAAGAATAAACCGCCTGCTTGACACGCTGGCAAGTCGTACGTACTCGACGCCGTCGTCGTTGACCCCTTTACAGAGAGTGCTTTTCGTATGGGGAACAGCCCAACAGCTAACTACGATTGATAGGCTCTATAACTCCAGCCATATACTCCGTACATAAAGGGGAAAATACACAGCAAGACGTGACTGTGGCAGTTCAGTTGTGATGACAAGTCGAAAGAGTCTCCGAATCTCCGGGCCAACCTAACTCCAGCTGAGAAAGGAAGAAATATCAGAAACGTTGTATAAGCCAGGCAAGGATGGTGATGGCCCACCAAGCCCAAACCAAGCCTTCCCCCCTCCCCTGGATACTATTTAATCCGTTTACTGTTCCTTTTGCCCTTCGTATTGGTACGGAAGCTGTCGAAAGTCAATGGCGCGTGGGAAGGATTTAGCGTGACAGATGCCTGCACTGCCACAACCCGGGGGAACATATTACATCCGTTATTTGACCAAAGTGCAAGGGGTCGACCCTTCCACAAGGCGACAATATATACAGAATAGTAGTTAAATTAACGAGGAATAGACAAATATATCTACATACGTATCAGAAAGCATCAATGTCAGTAGTCAATGTATATATAGATTTAACGCTGACGCTTTGTAGACAATGGCAGCGCCCATGTCTGCATCCACTCAGAATCAACGATATCCTGAATAGTGGCCCTGTCCCTAGGCGAATATCGAAGTATCGTCTCAATCATATGTAGAAAAGCCCTCTTTTCATCCTCGCCTTGCTCTTCCATTTCTGATCGCCGTCGAGCAGCCCGGACAAACCAGTTATACCGGTCCTCTAGGCTGTCTTTGAAAGGAGTAGCACCAGTTGCCATATCAACCGTGGCATCCTCGTTGAAGAACTCTGCCCTGGACTCCCACCGTAACCACCATGGTTCGGGAAGCTTCCCGAGCACACAGACTTGATCCTGAAGAATGCCACCGCCTAAGATGCTAAAAGGACCTCCACCACCAATAATCTCGAATATGATACATCCAAGAGTCCAGATTTCGCTAGGGAAAGATAGCCTATCTTCGTCCTTTTGCTCGTCAACGAAGAATGCTTCTGGCGGGACAAGATGTGGCAGCGTACGTGCGTTGACCCGTCTTGTTTTATCCGGGCAGTAACTTGAACCAAAGTCGGATAGTATAACAGGTAGGTGTGAATCGGTGATTTGGTCGGATCGAATTCCCATCCTTACAGGCCCAATAATATGGGTAGGGACTCCTGCGGGGAGTGGCTTGCGGTCTACTCGGACAATAGGCTCGAGAATTGGGTTCCCGAATTTTTGGTATAGGCTTAAAGGGTTGACTATCCGACAAAGGTCAGCGGGAAGTCGAAGTAAAAGGTTGCCACAGTGTATATCTACAGGCTAGTTAGACGATATGGTTATATATAGGTATGTAAAGATGGGTCAACTAACCGCCATGGACGATTCCCTGTCCGTGTAAAGACTGAACAGCTAACACCAAGTCCGCGATGATAGCTCGAGCAGTAGTAAGACTTAGGAGTTCATGAGCGGGCCAGCAACTTCGACTGTGTCAAGCTACAACCGGTTGCCTCCATGACAAGGCACCGATGGGCCCCGTTAGGACTGTTTTCAATAAATGTGTCCAGCAGCTGTCTGATCGATGGCTGCCCACGGAGTCGGATAAGAATATCCTCCTCCTCAGACTCTTCGACAGAGTCAGCAGTTCTTATCTTGATAGCAACCAGCCTCTGTTGCTTCTGGTCGGAAGCCAGCCATACAGTAGAGCTGCCGCCAAATCCCAGGTTGTGGACGATGCAGTAACGCCCATCGCAGAGGCGATCCCCAAGCTTCACCGGATAATAGCCACCGGGGGAGTATCTCTCCAGCCGTTCACAGTCCTCGATATACTCGTACTCTGGGGCATCTTCCGCCCTACGCCTAATGCTACTGGCATGGAATGTTCTCACGGCCGGTGTGAGAGAGCTCGATGATGCCAAAAGGGTGGATGGTATGCTGTATCTCCATTTACCAAGTAAAAGACGTGGCCTAGTGGATATCATTTGGTGATACCCTTCTATATTTCGAGTGTATCAGTCAGGTAGTAAAGGCCCAAGAGGGTTGGATATGGAATGATTATAATTATGAAGTTGGCTAAAGCTGTGATTAAATAATGAACGACTACAGCTTGTATCAATATCTTTCCATGCATGGCATCCGTACTAGCAAGGTATCGTTCGATAGGTGTTTGTCCATATCCTCATCATAGATCTCAATCAAGCTGGAGAGGTAAGCTATGCCAGTCCTCCCACCACCTCTCCCCACGGCTCTCCGGCCAGATACTTCGAAGAACGCCTTCTATGTAATCTATCTCTATCTTGCTCCTACCCTTACGTTTTATGATACCAAGATCCTCTACGACCACGTCGCTGTGGCCGCCCGACCAAGTACACCGCCAGCCTTTGTCTATATTCATGAGGAATTGAACGCAATTCGAAGAAATACGAGTACGCGGTAGCCCCGAAAACGTGTCTAGGCCCCAAGTCTTCAGCGTGAGCCTTTTGAGTGCACTCTCTCCTGAGCCGACGATATTAGCTATGGAGCGAACCAGGGAGCTATCAACGGCATAGTTTACCACCATAGCGCGAACATAGGCGTTGGTAAATATGAACTCGCGTCGACTGTGTTTGCCCGAGTTGCCAAGTTGTATATCCAGCTCTTCCAGTTGGGTAAACTTGCCCAGGGCCCTGTAATGGTCGACTTCTTGAGAATCACTCTGGGAGCGCTTAATGGGCAATGAGAGCACCCGAAGCTCATGGCAGCGTAGTCGAATACCGTCAATCATGTCCACTGTCATAATGGGCATGTCCAGGTTGAAGCAAGACGAGAATGAAAGCTGCCGCAGAGCCGTACCGTGGCGCTCTAAGATAGCTTTAAATGTACCCTGTCCAAACGATCCGTTTATTTGCAACTCTTTGAGCGGGAGTAGCTTCTTGAGAAAGGCAGCCCCAGCTTCATCCGTCTGCTGAAGTGTTTCGTCGTCGTCTAGGAACTTCTCTCCATAGATGCATATTACGAGGGTCTCGAGTGACTGGAATTGGCACTCCCTTAACCAGATGAGTGTATCCAACGGAACGCCCTCTGGGAGCAAGAGGCTACGCAGGCTGGAAAATAGAGTATACCGGCTCCAGGCCTGAACAAAGTCCAAGGACGCCATGTAGCAATTCGAAATTGCAAGCTTCTCGAGACTCTTTGGCTTTATAGCGTCAGGCTGTGGCCGGCCTTCAAAGCGATGTCGCCATGGCGAGTGTTCCCCTGGGCTTATTACCTGCGGAAGTGGGAGAACTCCGCGGACCAAACTAATCTCTCTGATCGAAGGGGAGAGCTCTCCGACGAGTTGTAGGGGAATCTCATCACCATAGTCTAGCATCTCACGCGACCAGTGCCACGCCAGGGATACGCTGTATAAATTCGGTAACTTAGCAAAGACGAACCCGTACTCATCTATATCTCCATCGTCATGAACCATATAGTGTAGAATAAAAGGGCAAATGTGCAGCCTGCATCTCCGAAGCTTTAGACGCAATAACGTCAAGATACAGCGGGGGAACTGATTCTGCCTGAAGTAGAAGATGTCTCTTAGGCCGGTGAGCTTGCTCAAAAACATCGCAACTGACCACCATAAGTCATCCTCGTCGTCAAGCTCAGTTGGAGTTAGAGGGTTAGGATCATAATGACAGTAAAAGTAGTCATCTTGGGGGTACTTGGAGTTGTATTCCGAAGGAGACTTAGGGCATTGACACCGGAAACTAGTAATATCTGCCGCACTTTCGACACCCGGCTTCATGTACTCGACGGCGCAATAGCAGCCAATGCTAACTCGACGAACATAGCCGTAACTTTGTCTTCGCCCCAGTAACGAAACCCAGCGATTCAGGCATAGCTCCAGCCTTGATTCGGTCGAGATGACAAGGCGGATATGTTGGAATCGTTTCGGGTCAGCGGCAGCACAACACCGCTTGCTCGCCCGTGAAAAGTTGCGTAGCTCAGAGACTCCTCCCTCCGCAAGGAAGCCACAGATATCCTGCCAAAGCTCCTGGGGGAGACATTCAAGGGAGGCCATCGTTAGTTACTCTGGGACCGTGAGGAGGATGCAGATGTCCGTTTGGACATGGGAATGGGCGGCCTACTTAACTGGCAGACAGGCTAACAACGCCTTGTGCGTGCCCATACATACATGCACTACCTCCTATCAGCTCCCCCGCACGCTTTCCGTGCCTATACCGGTGTGGTACATGGCCAGAAGAGGTTGTTACATGGTGCATTTCTCAATTCTCCTATCACAAGTTAGTCTCATGCAGCAACAATCACATATGTATTCTGATGCATCGATACGTACATCCATAGCAGCCTGTATCACCAGTAATGCCCCTGATAAGCCGTGATCTTCAGGCCTGAGCCTGCGCCCTTGACCTTGGGCGCATCTCTCCTCGCCTTCTTCCACTCAGCTTCTGTCATGGCGTTCTTGGGCACGAAACCGTAGTTCTTCTCGTAGTAGTCGACCCTGCGCGCGGATTCCCTGGCTTTCTTCTTCTCGTTGTATGTTTGCTTAAGAGTCTTTATCAACGAGGTGGGATCGAGGTTGGTCATGGTGGAGGTTTCGATGTGTTTTTGACGATGGATCGTATTTATTTGAATATTCACCAACACAAGAGACACGAACGAGTATAAATGATGCATAGATAGTCCGGCATCAGCTGATGGATCGCATGTTGCATGCTTGAATCTCCTGTCGATTCTCGTGAAAGTGACTGCTCAGGTAGACTCAAACCTTCGCCTGTAAAAAAGTTCGTTTCGACAACCCAATAGTTTCTTCTCTCTTTACGTTTATATTACTATTACTGGATTATGATCGCGAACGAAACCATAGATTTCATATCCATACACACAAAAAAGGCTGCAACGAAGACGATAAAGAGTGCAAAAGACAAAAAGAAGCATGGCCATAAAACATCAACACGAAGAACTGAAAAGACGAAAAAGAAAAGATGATCAAAAAGAAAGGTAATGCAAAGTCCATCCATACCTAATCCCCCACCTCGAGACGCCGGTTCATTTGTTTGCTTCCCAGCTGGTGGTTGGTGGGAGTGTATATTGGGGTGGCGTTGAGCGGCGAGCCGGGACGATGAGAGAGGAGAGACGAAGAGGGTATTTTGGTCCATGAATCGGGTTCATGGCGAGAGAGAAAGAGGGAGAGTGTGTGGGTGAGTAGAGTAGATGTATCCGCCCATACAAACCGTCCACCAACCGAGCCAAGCTGGGAAGACGAAGCATGAAAGACAAAAAAAAGGAAAAAGAAAAGAGCAAGGCCAGCCAACCAGGCACATATATTATATCATGTTCATGCCCGCTACTGGAAGCTTATGCAGCTGTCTTCTTTGGTGTTCCTTTCGGGGTGCTGGCTTTCTTCTTTGCGGGGGCCTTCTTGGGTGCCGCGGCGGGTTTGGCGGCAGTCTTGGTCACTCTGCCGGACTTGGTCTTGCTTAGGACCTTGGGAACGTCAACGACGGCGGGTGCCTGTCTCATCATTAGTGGGGGAGGAGCAGGTATAAGTGAGGGGGGGAGAGAGAACATACGGAGGAGGTAGTCTTGCGTTGCTTGGTGGTGTTGGCCTTGGTCTTTGTCTTGGTGGAGGTAGCAGCCTTCTTTGTGGTCGAGGCAGCGGCCTTCTTTGGCTTGTCTTTGTCCGCCTTTGCAGCTGGCTTCTTGGTGGTGGTGGTAGTGGTGGACTTCTTGGTAGCTGGCTTAGCAGTAGTCTTGGTGGTAGAGGCAGTCTTCTACATGTAAGAGTTAATGACGGTGTGGGAGTATAGAGGTGTGACGGTGACATACCTTGACGGCAGGCTTAGCGGCAGGCTTGCTGGTCTCCTTCTTCGCGAGCTTTACGGGGCCGGAGGGACCTGGCGACGTGTCAGTGATAAGATCAGACGATAAGACGGGAACCAAGACTGAAAACGCACCCTTTGGCTGAGTGAACTCCTTCTTCTCGACGGCAGCCTTGAGAGCACGGTTGAACTGCGCGTCAAAGGCGGCCTGGGAGGTGATGTTGAGTCTGTTGTTGTTCTGGACGTACTTCTTGAGCGCTTGACGGCTGCAGGCAGGATTAGCGACGGGAACCATCAACAGCGACATCGACAGGGCCACACATACCTGCTTCCATTGCGTTCTTTAAGCTGTATCGTAATAAGAATAACAAGTCAGAAGAATATTTAAACACGCGAAGGGTATCTCATCGTCCTCTAAAACACCTCCTGCTGATGATGCCTTGCTCGCCACGCCAAAACAACCATGAACATTCAGCAACCGGGACTGATCTACTCACGCTGATGATGGCATCCTTGATCATATCTGTACCAGACGAGTCAGCAAGCGAACGCGACCCCAACGATACCTATACCACCGCCCGGCGACGGGTGTGGGTGCTGGATCACACGAGGGTTGTCTCTCACCTTTGTATGAAGCGTGGGTGGTGGCGGCCTTGCCAGAGGCAGCACCGGCAGCTTTCTTTGGAGACATCGCGACGAGAAGAGAGTGGACAGCGACTTTTGGTGGTAGAAGAAGCTAAAGACGCGTCAGATGGACTTCTTAGGCCTGTCTTTGGCGATGATAATGGTTGTTGTTATGGTCGGAGGAAGAGGGCGAAGAGAAGAAAGGAGGGAGAGAGAGGAGCGGCCAGCGGGGCATGGGCGGCCTTCTTATATTTATTTAGGCGCGCCGGGGGGAAAGTTGATCTTCCTGCATCACCTTGTCTTCCTCTTCTCTTGTTCTCCTTTTGTTCTATTCCGTTATGCTGTGTTCTTCTCCGTCTGTAGGTTATGTTCTGGCCATCGAGTTGACGGCCTCGTCGTCCTTCGATCTATGTAACTTACGCATCCTCGACCGTCTCGTCGCCGTCGCTTTTGCTATTTCTCTCATACGTCTACGTGATGCAGGGCAGGACAGCATATGATACAAGACAGACTCCTTGTCAGATATGATTATTCGACGGATGCAGGGCCTATCAGAGGCTTGATAAAGACTTTCATCTGTATATCTCCTCGTCTCGCCTTCATCGTCCCCATCTCACCCTCGCCGTCGTCATCTAGAAGCCCGCATCTATATAGCTCGCCCACAGCCATCTCTGCGACCACCACGACCATGCAACGGTCGCATAGACATCAATCTTTATTACTAGGGCATCTCTCCCTTTCTATGTTTTCCAGATCTATCAATCGTAATATCTAGCTAGTTAGCAGTAGAAGTCTTGCAGAAAGCCAGAACTTGATATCAGCCATTAAGATCACGACTAGACAGCGATCGCCCAGATTTTCTGCTTCCCCGGTCCCATGGTTGAGGATGACATCTCATGGAGACCCAAGAAACGAGGCACTGAACCAGTTTTCCTTTCCGTACTCATCTTATCTTGCATAGGATCAAGTCTTTCTTCTCTGTTTCTTCTTCTTCTCCTTTTCATCTGATCTTTTGATGTTTTTTTTGTTTTACTTCGGGTTTTCTTTGATTAGTCAGCAGGTCTTGGCACTGAGATGGCCGAAGGTACAAGAAGACGAAGAAGACGAGCGAGAAGAAGACTTGATCCTGAGAGACACGGAGGAGATACGGGGGTAAGAGAAGGTGGACAGGATAGAGCGGTTGACGCTCTCTACAGCCATGTACTTTATGACCGGTTACATGCATGGAGTGAGTCCGAATCAAGGTGTTCTTCTGCACGGTGTACATTCACTATGCCCTAGTAGATGCGCCAAACCCCAACCAACGCCATACAGGATGCGGTAGAAGAGAATAGGAGAGAAGATGAAAGAGAAGAGTGAAGAGAAGAATAAACGAGAGACGAGACTATCTGGCTCCCCTGGGCTTTGCTCCCATGGCCCTCTTCGCCTTTGCGTCTTCCTTCTTTTTCTTCTTGGCCAGCTCGGCCTTCTCCTCTGCCTTTCTTTTCGCGGTGGCCTTCTGCTGCTCCGTCTTGGCCACGGGTTTGAAGAAACCCTCCAGCCTCGACTGCTGGGCGCTCTTGAGGTTCTTCGTCAGCCGCGCGGCCCCGTTGCGCACCCGGTCCTCGCTGAACCCTTTCTCTTCCACCAGGAAACGGACCAGGCCTTCCACGTCCGGGGCGGTCCACTTGAAGTCGCACTCGGGCGCGTCGGCGGGCCGCACGTCCGGGTTGAAGAAGAGGTCGCGGGCCTGGAGGTAGGGCCAGTCGTCTGGGATGACGTACTTCTTCTTGGGGTCCGACTCGATGGTCTCGACCACCTTCTCCAGCGTGCCGTGGTCGCGGATCATCTTCAGCGCCGTGTTGGGGCCGACCTTGGGGATCGGGTCGAGATAGTCGCACCCAAGCAGTATACAGAGGTCGACAAACTGCTCTATTAGCATGGAAAGCAAGAATATGTATATAAAGTAACCCACCTGAGTCATCTCCATCCCCAAGCCTTCGAGCACTTTGTCCAGATGTATCTCTAGGATAGGCTCCTTCCGCTGCTCGCTAAAGGTAAGATGCCGTAGCAGCACCGGCGCCGCGAAGCAGAGCGTGTCCATATCCTCCGAGGCGGCACCAAATACCTTCCCTTCCTTGGCCAGCACCGCACACTGCGCCTCTGCCTCGGTAGGTGCGTCGATGTAGGGAATGCCCATCAGCTTGAGCAGCCGCTTGCACTCTGCATTGTGCTCCCTCGTCACCCTGACCGTCCGGCGAGAGAACTTCTCGACGTCTTCCGCCGTGCCCGTCTCCTTGGCCTCCTCAGCAGCCTCCTGCGCCTCGGCCTTGCGCATCGTCCGTTTCGCCAGCTCGCCGGACTTGAGCTTCGGAGGGGCCCCGTCAAAGACGTAGAGCGGCTTTATCCCGTTGTCAACCATGCGCAGGGTTCGGTAGAACATCCCCATCAGGTGAGAGGTCGTCTCGCCGGACTCGTTGGTGAGCTGCTGGCCGTCAGACCGCACCGCGATGAGGAAGCTGTATATGCTCATTGACCTGCTCCTCGTCAGTTGACGCTCTATATCTTTGTGCAGTCTTTACATACGCATCCTACTCATCATTAGCTGAGGCCACCGTCTATTGAAAGATAGCTCCGAGACTTACGATGGCCACCTTGCGCCCAAACTGGTTCTTGATCTCGCCCGCCTTGATCGCATCCGGGGCGTTTTCCGATATTATCTGGTACAGACCTGGTCTTGTCAGCACTTATATCAAACAGCAGAAGATAAACATACATACTCTTTATACCCATCTTGCCTCTGAGGTGTCAATACCAGCAAGAAGAACTTTTATCACTTTCGTTGCATGAAAGGAAGAAAAGTCGAACGCGCTCGTCGGCTTTCACGCGATGCAATTTACCCTAAACAGACTAGCGCGTTTATGACTAAGATTGATTATATAATAAGTGTTGCTGTTGGGAGAGCACGTGACTACAGCCTGGGCTGCAAGACACAGCGGAACAGCAAAATAATGCCTCAGCAACCAGATGAACACAAGAAAAGATTATTATTATCATTATTTTTCATTATACTCTTATGCAGTCAAGGGCTATGAGTAGTTCACTACCTAAGGCCCCCTTAAGGGGGAGTTTCTAAATAGCCTTCCATGGTTGAATTTCAATATAAGGCAAATTCCAAGCTACCCATCAAAGGTGATAATTTGAATATATTCAGCCCACTTTTATAGAGAGGCTAGTTATTAATAAAGGAAATTTTTCAAGAAATGCTTATTCAGTGTCTAAAGTTTCAACTAGCGCGTGTATACCGTTAGAAGGAAGAGAAGGAGAGTCACACTAGCCGCCCAGTCTTGTCAAACACGGCTCTCTGAGAAAAAATTGCGATAATAGTAAGAGAGACAGGAGTACAAGCACGAGCGGGATGCAACGGAAAGGATACAGAGTGCCGTATAGGCGCGGGAGGGATATCCGAGCTCAAGCGGACTCCGTACGATCGTCCTGCGTCATATTCACGCAGGAGTTCCCGGACCACCCAATCTGGCACCACTCCCTCTTTGTACGGAATGACTACCCCTCCCTCTCACAACTTGTACGGGAATATCTGGCCAACGTTGGGGATATTCAACTAGTGGGACTTCTTTCTACCACCTAAGATTTTGTTTCAAGGTCTATACTCACGCCCGTGCCTGCGGAGTATCGATTATCCGATTGAGCCTTAACTAGTATCTCTGCCATTTGGCCAAAGGACTAGCCGGCACTGAGTGGCTATAATATTGTGTCAAATATAACAAGTCTCTCTGCCTCCAATCGGTGCGGGCTCGCCTTTTTGGCCGAATGGCAGATTCTGACATATTGACAGATTGTTTCCCCATAGAAACCAGTATGGAGGAGCTTCAAAGGCGGCTAAGAGAGGCAGAGACCAGAGCTGAGGAAGAAGAGCGACTTCGACGAGAAGAAGAGCGGCTTCGACGAGAAGCAGAGGACAGAGCTGAGGAAGAAGGGCGACTTCGACGGGAAGCAGAACGACTTCAACAAACACTGGAGAGCAAAATTAACCCGGCCACCTTCGAGTCCTTTATTAAATCATGCCACGAACTCATTGCTGTGCCGCTTAGCATTCAGCCAATACATAAAAGTACAAAAGGCTCAATTACCAGTCCTACTGGCCGCTACTGTCCGACAACCCTTCGCAGTTGGACGGACTTTCCCCGTCTACGCGAGGAGCTGTTTGAGAAAGTATTCTCTCTCTTCCATCCGAGTGCTTCCCCCCCTGTCGAAGCGTTCTTGTCCAAGGAGGGTGTCAAGACTGTTGGTAACCTTGTTTCCCGTCGACATCTGGGCAGCGAGCTCGACCTTATGAGCTATGAGCGATTTGCCGTTGAAGAACATGTTACCTCTATTCTACAAGAATTACTAAAGCTTGATACCAAAACAAAACTTCCATTTCTGGGGTCAGGTGTCTCGTTTGAAAATCACGCGAATACTCTTAGCGATACGCCTGAGCAAACAGGCCGCAGGCCTCGTTCTGATCAATTATGCGTATTTAGAAAAGATAGGGAAGTTGAGACACTGCTTTATATTATTGAATATAAAGCCAGCCATAAACTTCGGCCTGCGAACTTACGGTTTGGACTACGACCTTCGAATTTTTGGGAGGACATCGTGCAGGCTCACGAAATTCCCCTCGACAAGCAAGAGAAAGCTATATATAACGCACAGCAGCTTAGCGGTGCTGCAATCACACAAACCTTCGACTATATGATTAAAGAGGGGGTTGAATACGGGTATTTGACCACCAGTGAGGTATTTGTATTTCTTCGTATAAAGGAAGATGATCCGAGGACTCTATATTACTATCTCTCCGAGCCCGTTCAAGACGCCGAAGTTCAGGATAGCGAGCCCTTTCCGTATTCCTGCACCGCAATTTCATCAGTCCTCGCCCTATGTCTCCTGGCCCTAGATTCAAAAAAAAGGGACCAAGAGTGGCGGTCACTTGCAATATCTCAACTTCACAAGTGGGTTGTTGATATAGAATACGTCTTAGCAAAGATGCCCCCGGAGGAACGGAGCCGAACACCATCGGAATCGAGTTATATCCCATCGAGCCCATTGTCCAGCCCTATTCAGGAGGGCCAGTCTCGACGATCCCGTCGATTACGAGACAGCTGTGCAGACCCGGATGACACAGTTAATAATCCGTTGTCAGATAGTTCCGAAGAAGATGACCCTAGCGACCGCAGCTCACAGGTCCCGCCAGGGAAACGATTCATATCCCCACCACGTCCGCCTCCGTTGAAACGGCAGCCGCAGTCGCAGGAGGAGCGTGAGCGTAAGCGGGAGCCCGATCGTCAATATTGTACACAGAAGTGCCTAGTTGGCTTGGGTAATGGAGGCGCTTTGGATCAATCATGTCCTAATGTCGCTCTCCATCAGCAGATGAGCCATAACGGCACTCATCCAATTTCTAAAGCAAAAGTCGCAATGCTACTAGACAGTCAGTTAAACAATGACCGGGACAATGGGTGCTGGCCTTTGATGAAGCTTCACGGCGCCCGAGGTATTCTCTTCAAGATGACACTGGCCAATTATGGCTATACATTTGTAGGGAAAGGGACAATTGAAGGTCTGGTCTGTCATCTCCAGCATGAGGCTAAAGTGTATAATGCTCTCAACAAGCTCCAAGGAAGTCTTATTCCTGTTTATCTCGGAAGCGTTAATTTAAAGAAACCATATATTACGACTGGTTTGGACTATATTGTCCATTATCTACTGCTCTCCTGGGCTGGAGATAGCTTAGACGATATACCATGTTGTGACATCGACTTTCACCATGAGGGAAGAAAGCTTCAAAAGGAATTAGGCCGGTACGGCGTGGTCCACGGAGATGTTCGCCCGGCCAATATTACGTGGAATTCAGAGCTATCCCGGCCGATGCTGATCGACTTCGACCAAGCACGACTAAAGCAAAAAAGACCCGCTATCCATAGCCATTCCATTAAGCGGGCGCGGCGAAATGTTTCCCACTAGATCTATCTAGATCTATTCACCGTAGAAGATTGCGGATGGGTTTGCTAAGAAAGAGCGCGGTGGGCGCGAAAACGTAGGTATTATGCGATTGTAGATGATCCCGATCATCTACAATCGCATAATAAGGTCCCTTGAAAGTCACAGGGTCACACCTTATTAAGCCTTAGTAAGAGCTTAGTCATCAACAGGGCGGACTCTACATCGTAAACTCGCTATAATAAAAGAACCAACTTGGAAAATTTTTGAGAGATACCTATCTTCCGCCAGGCTATTAGAATTTTAACCAATTAATCCGCCCAATCTACTAAGCTTTAACAACTACGCTAAAGTTGAGATGAAGTTGAGATGAAGTTAATGGAAGATATGAAGGTGATCTCTCTACTCGTGTGTATCCTCCGTTTCCTCTGTACTATGTACCCCATACCCTGGTTCAACCCTGTATATCCTTCTGTCACATCGTATATGGCCTTTACTGTCGACCGGATGTATATAGCTTACTGCTCTTTGCAGTGTCGACCGTTGGGTGAACGCGAGCAAAAGTAGGTGCAGCACTCGTGGTTGTAGGTGCACACATCGCCGGTGGAGAGGCAGTTATCGCGTCCGTGGAGCGGCTTTCTGCGCGCGGGGAGGTCTTTTGAGGGGACGTCGAGATGGTCTCGAGTCCTGCTGATCGCGACGGAGGTTGACGGGGGTGACGGTGCTGCCAGGGCGACGGCAGAGAGGGCGACGAGGGCAGAGATCTTGTGGATGTACATGTTTGCTGCTCCGTGGTTCCAAGCTGTTCCAAGCTGTTCCAAGTGGATGTCTGTTTGATATTGATGGGTGTGATGGTGAGTGCCTGGAAGCAATCGACGGCCCCAGGTCTTATATCTATAGCCAGACAAAGGCCATCGATGCTCTCATCTCAAGAGTCAAAGAACCGCAGTTCCTGGAGTACCGTCTTTCACCATACTCTCGCATCTCTGCATCCTTTGTAGCGCTGCACTCTCTGCATATAAAACCGTGGGTATAACAGCAGCTCTGCCAGGGGTATCGAGGGCAGACCGAGCCTTGTGACCCACGAGGCCAACAAGGAGGCGTAGAAGGCTGAGCTGAAAGCTGACAACCATCTTCCTATATCAACGCTTCATGTCTATATCCGCCGTCTTCCAGCCGTATAAATATTTAACTGTTGGTTGAACACACTAAAAAAGGACGAGAAAAATACTTAAATAACCGCAGAAAATAAAAAATCCCACACTTTCTTCTCACCAACATCAGCCTCGCTTCTACTTCTTCTACTTCTTCTTCTTCTTCCTGTCTTGTATTTTCTTCCTCTCGTTACTCTCAATTCTTTCAATTGAACTCGTCCTACTTCTTTATCTCCTCCTGCAAAGAAACCCCCCCGCAGCGGTCGCACGATCAGGCGCCTCTGCATAGACAGGACAGAAAAAACACACCATGGGCGAAATGGCCAACAGAACCGAACTCGCAAAGCGCAAGAGACCGAGTAAGAGACCTTCTTCCCAGCCGTCCAGCCGCTTCTCTCGTCGAGACACTCTCGTTGCAGGCGTTTTTTTTTTGAGTCGCGGGCGTTGAAATTTTCCCTCCTTTTCCACCAACCAAGTCAACAGCCTCAACATTCCTCCTCCACTGAACAAAACCATCACATTCAACCACGATGGCACAGCTAAACCAGCCGGTGATAGGAACTCAGTCCTGCCCGCCGCCAGAGCTGCCGCAGCTCGTCGCAGAGCAGCATGTCCCCGTCTCCGCGCAGGACAGGGACACCAAGCGGCTCATCGTCGTCCTCTCCAACGCCAGCCTCGAGACCTACCGATCCTCCCACGGCGCCGGACGGGCTGCCAACGGTCGAGAGGAGAAGTATTCTCTCCTCAACTCGGACGAGCACATCGGTATCATGCGCAAGCTGAACCGTGACATCAGCGAGGCCAGGCCGGACATCACTCATCAGGTTTGCCCCTTAGAACTCATCGATTATTTTGTCTCTTTGTCTCTTTTTTGTACTGTGTGGCCAAGTGTGTAACTTATCCTGCAGTGCCTGCTCACGCTGCTCGACTCGCCCGTCAACAAGGCCGGGAAGCTGCAGATATACATCCACACGGCCAAGGGGGTGCTCATCGAGGTCTCGCCCACCGTCCGCATCCCCCGCACCTTCAAGCGGTTTGCCGGCCTGATGGTCCAGCTGCTCCATCGTCTCTCCATCCGGTCCACCAACTCGGAGGAGAAGCTGCTCAAGGTCATCAAGAACCCCATCACCGACCATCTGCCCCCCAACTGCCGCAAAGTCACCCTCAGTTTCGACGCCCCCATCGTCCGTGTCAACGACTATGTCCGGACCCTGGGGCCCAAGGAGAGCATCTGTGTCTTCGTTGGTGCCATGGCCAAGGGCAGAGACGACTTTGCCGACGCGTTCAAGGACGACACCATCTCCATCAGCAACTTCAGTCTCAGTGCCAGTGTTGCCTGCAGCAAGTTCTGCCACGCTGCTGAGGATGCGTGGAATATCGTCTAGTCTTGTCTTTTCATGTCTGTACCCACTGGCCGTCCTCTAGATATAAAACCTGCTGACATCCGTTCTAGTAGCCTATGCTGTTTGTTCTCTTTACTCTTTTGGCGATTGACTAACCGTTTAGGATCCGAGGCTGCTGTCTGTCTGCCCGACCTGGCTGTCCCCATCCCTTGTTTCAACACCAAGCTCATCACCTACGGAAAGGCGCCAGACCACCACTACTCCTACTACAACAACTGCTACAAAATACCACGGAAAAGGATACCAAGGTCAAGCAATTCTCCACCCCCAATGTTTCCCAGGCCAGATTGTCCACCAAACTGGCGAGGCTCGGGCCAATGATACCAACATCAACGGCTGCAAATTTCTTTGAATGTTCATGTACTCTATTTGGCCTGGGGAGCATCTGGCGGTGGGGAGTTGTCCATCCTCTGTCTTCGGAACCGGACCTATCCTTGGCTCTTTTTCTCTTTCTCTCTCTTTCTTTGCCTTCCCGTTTACCAACGCTTGACTTGGAACCCCTTATTTTTCTTTGGCTGGAACTATGTTTTGATCTCGTTCCTGTTTTTTACAACCAAAAACACGAACATAGGCGGTTCAACAGCCCTGGTCAACAACAAGAGAACGGCATAATGGCGTTGGAACGGGGCGTGTCTTGCTTTCTGAACTGTCTATCTTGTTGGTGTCGTGTATCTTTGCACATGTCTGATGCTCTAAAAAAGGGGTAACACTCCTCTGCTTGTTCATGTCCTTACCGAGGCGGAAGGGCGTGTATATCTTGTCGTGCTCCATATATATATACTCTTATACTCTATATTATTACCCGATATCCTTGACTTACTCACCGCCAGACAAGCGTACACATAAGCTATCGACTAGATGACTTTATATAGCCTCTCATCCGACTGGACCAGCCTCCTCTCCCTTTTCTACGTAAGATGTAAACAACCATACAAGGATTGTCTGGCCACTCGCCTCGTCTACCGCTTCTTCGTCAGTTAACTAATATCACATACTATGTAAGCTGTAATTGAGAGAAGAAAAAAAAAGAAAGGCTTCATCCCAGCAAGCGTCAGGCGTGGATGCAGGTCACCGCCTCATCTTTTTCTCTCCCACGGCCAATGGGCGAACCAACCGCCAACTTCACTTCTGATAAATCCACCAACATACATCACACTTACACATAGCGCACATATTACACTCTCCATCCGTTCGTTGATGAAACATCCTGCGCCATCCTGTCTATGGACTATAGCCAGTCGCTTCATACCGCTGCCCTGCCGTGTTCGATCGCCACAGCACGCTGCATGTACAGCTATTGATCACTCCACAGACCAGAGATGAAAGACAAGGGCGAAGGACTATCAGACAAAGTTGGTCGACTGGCTGGCCCAGAAAGAAACCGTCGGGCATTCATCCATGGGGCTTGCTGCTGGCTGGCTGGTGCATGCTATGTACGGGGCCTGGCTTGTTGCTTTTTGGCTGCCGCAATGCTATGGAGAGTCCCCGAATCGTGGAGATCCGTTACATTTTTTACTTCCTTTTTTTCGCTCCGGATGAAGCGTGGATTTCGACTTCTGGTTCTTCCAGCCATGCATGAGAGTCTGATGGGCAGACAAGAAGGCCGGGGTTGGCCTTCCTACAGTGCTGATGGACATACGTGTATCCGCAGCTAAGGAGAGCTCGATTGGTCCACGGAACACCCTCCCTGGGGCCTAAAACCGATGGCCTTGTCGATGCTGGTTAAAAAAATAAAAAAAAAATGATGCTGTCCTGGGTCTATGGAGTTACCTAGTAGCATTTTCTGCTGGCCAATGCCTCGCCCCGGGCTACCCGCTTGCTGGGAGTTGAGTTGGCGGTGCTGGGGTACTTACGCCTTTTTACGGCCCCTGGGATATGACACCGATGCGGGAATCCAGAAGGGCTCTCTGCTCACTATCTTCTTTGCTCGAACTTGCCTGTTGCAAGTTGAGATCTTTCTGGCTATAGTTGCCTGCATGATTGGTGGGCTTTGCCCTCCGCTTGCTGGCTTGTCTTCTTCCTTTTTCTGTCTCTTCCTCGGAGCCAGATGGGCGGAGGAATCATATATTAATACTTCCGCCTCGGAAAGACGAGTACTTTTCTCTCCCTCCCTCTCTCCTGTCCCGATCTCTTCTATAAATATATCCTCACGTATATACGGACGTATATACTACCATCGTCAAAAACAGAACAGCTTCCTTTCTGTTTGTTGTCTTGTTTATTTTTTTTATCCCTCCTTCGAGACACTCTGTGACTCGCTTTGTCCTACCCGAACGCACTCGTTTGCATAAATTCTACATATATCATTCTATACCAGTCCGTTCTCTACATACAAACCCCTCCAAACTGCTCATTCCACGTCAACTACGAACAACTTCGAAATGCCGGTCTCCCATCTTACTCTGACCGTCTCGAACCTCCCCACCTCTACCTCCTTCTTTCTCTCATGTCTTCAGCCGTTGGGATACTGTTTCATGGGCCGCCATGAAAACAGCGTCGGATTTGGTACCGAGCCAGGCAAGCCTGCGGATTTCTGGATCGCAGAGGAGAGGCCAGGGTATATCCCCAACTACCGTTCGTATATAAAAAACGAATGTACAAGCTAACGATCTATAGTGTCCCTGCTGGAGCAGCACACATCGCCTTTCCTGCTCCATCCCGAGATGCAGTCAGTGCTTTCTTCATTGCAGCATTAAAGGCCGGAGGGAAAATCCACGGCGAGCCATGCGTGCGGGACGCAGAGCGGGGCTACTTCAGCGCTGCCGTGATCGACTTTGATGGTAACAGCATCGAGGCCGTCCACCGCAATGAGACCGGTAGCGTTGCCCCCAGCCGTAGAGGGAGTGTCGCCAACGAAAAGGCTCTCTCCGTCGTCTCCAGGCATTCTACAGCTAAATCGAGGGCCATGACCGTCGCTCCACCAAAGTCAGAAGTCAGCGTTGCCAAATCCAGAGCAATGACTGTTGCTCCTCCAAAGTCGGAAGTCAGCTCTGCTTCGACCGCCAGAAGGGCTTCGAAGTCCGTCATGGCTCCAGCACCACAGCCGGAACCGCGCCAGGAACTGCGGCAGCAACCTAGACACGAGCCAAGACAGGAGACCACCAACGTCCACTACATCGTCACCAAGGAGAAGAGCGGTGACAATTTGTCTGGTGCAAAGGCCGTTGTGGGTACTTTACTTGGTGCTGCTGCCGGGGCTGCACTTGCATATGCCATGGTCAAAGGAGACTCACAGTCCCAGAAAGAGACCGTCACTCCTGTCACCGCCACCAGGTACATCGAAGCCCCCCAGTCCAGCCCCTCCGCCTCTGGAGGTGCCTACCGCGGCATCGAGCCGGGCCAGCAGCAAGGCCAACTCGAAGACGGGTACGCTAGAAGCGCCGCATCCAAGAACCCCTGGGCCAGCACCGTTTTTGACGGACTAGAGCAGACCAGCCGCATCCTCGAGCAGGCCAAGAGCTTCACCGGTAGTGCTGCCGCTGCTGGCTTCATTCCTGGTGCTGGCGGATCAACCTCCGGCTCAGAACGCCGTCCTTCCAATGGCAGCGTATACAGTGCATCGGGAGAATTAGAAATCCGTGCCATCGAGTGCGTCCCAGGCGGAGAAGACAATCGATCTTCCTACTCACGCTCATACCCTTACCAACCCAGCACGTTCATCAGCAGCTTCCACGACCACCCGGATCATCGTGACCGCGGCGATGCTGGCAGTGCCTGCAGCTCTGGAAGCTGCTGCTCACAGCGACGGTCCAGCCACAGCCAGAAGCACCTAGAGGGTGGCAACTACTACGCAAAGAGCGCTGCATCCAGCCATGCCTCGACCATCAAGCCGAAATCCAAGGCAAAATCCCAGTTCTCAAGCCATTCGAGCCACCATTCCAAACGGTCTTCTGCCTCTGCCGTCAACAAGGAACGGAGCATGCGCACCATCGAGGAAGACTACGGCTACGACTTCGAAATGCCTGCTGGAAGCGTCCACTCCACGCACTCGGCCCGCAACATCCCTCTGCCAGCAGGCTCCACCACCACCGTCTCGAAGCTATCCATCCGCTCCAAACACTCCCACCACTCCAGCCACAGTAAACATTCCCACCACACCCATCATGACCCTTCTTCGTCCCGCCGCTCATCTGCTTCCAGTCACCGCTCAGCCCACAAAATCCCGCTCCCGCCCAGCGTAGCTGGCGCCAGCACCATCTTCCTCGACGGCGGCGTCGACGTAGACTCCCATGTCACCCCGCGACCCCTGTTTGAAGGCGAGCACTCCTCACGAGCCCCGTCGAAGAAGTCGAAACACAAGCGCTCAAAGATGACGAAGCAGAAGAGAAGGAGGAACCCATATCCCAACTCGAGACAGTTGGGATGTTTACCCCGTTTTGCCCAGTGACAGCGTCAGCCAGGTCGGAAGCTGTGTGTCGAAGAAGAGCAGCAGAAGCAGACGGTAGACGGTAGATTATACGAGGGAGTACAGAGTATGAATTAGTTTTATACATGCTATTATGTTGATTCATGTTATGTTGTCCATGTTGATCGCCGTGGTGGGCTGGGCTGGGAGGCGATTGACGGTGTTTTTAGGGAGCGTTTGCGGGCATTTTATCATGGCATTTTTTGCATATCTTATTTCTTGTCTCTTCATATATATATTTCTTCTTCCTTACCTACTAATTAGATTGTTTACTACCGGTTGTATTATCACTTCGATTTCATGTACATGGCCAGTACTGAAGGCTATGAAAATGCTCAATTACTCCATCAACCATACATACAAATGCTAATATAAGGAGCGTCTGAAACAAACATACAAAGAGTGACTGAATGCCAGGTGATGATGATTAGAATGCAATGGGTAGACTGATGATAGGAGAGGCTGGCTTACCTTACTTCGGCATTTTGATATGCCTCACTTGCCATACATTGAGAGGAGGTAAGCCAGAATTGTAAGACTTTGGAGGAAGACAGGGTATGATGACGAGGAGAAAAAGAATGAGACATAGCAAGCGTTAATATTTATTGGTGTTGGCATGGGCAGGCATAACATAACATAACATGGCATGATGTGCGATGATAAAGGGGGAAACCTGACGCCCAAATATGAGGTGTGTTGAAGGTGAATAGAGAGGAGGGTGTCTGTTTGCTTGAGTGTTTCTGGGGAATAGAAAGATGATGGAAACGCCGATAGAGAGAGGGAGTTTGATTTGTAGGGAAGAAACGAAGAAGTAAAGCTGAGCACTCGATCCCGCTTCAACCAAACAGCCAAACAACCAAACAATACCTAAAACGATAATGGCCTCCCGTCACTGCACCGCAACGTCTCAAGCTCAAAGGGATTTAGGATATGAAGTAACTCCACGGTAACCATACTATCAACCCATCTACGGTCAACGCCTTTTTTTCAAGCAGTTATCAGTCGGGGGAAACGGGGAAAGAAAGGTGTATCTGGGTGGAGGAAATGGTGTGCGTGGAGGGAGGAGGTAGTAATAGGTGAGTAGTCGGTCCAGTCGAAAAGCAGTCCCCTTAATCAAAGCATTGTAGGAACGTAAGTATCAACCAATAGCATGTTTGCGTGTCCACTCTGCGGCGATTCTCTCATATTCTCCGTCCTTCTTCTTGTACAGGTGTGCTATCTCGGGAACCAGTGGGTCGTCTGGGTTGGGGTCTGTGAGCATAGAGCAGATAGAGAGAAGAACTAGCGTAGATGTCAGTATCAGTATTCGGTGGCGCCACAATGATGCTATTTTTATTAATAATAGTATTATGTACTGACCCTTTGATATGGTCAAAGCAGGACTCCATTGGTCTCTCAGGATATCGAGACAGATGCTGCCGTTTGAGTTGATGTTTGGGTGGTAGACGGGGGTGGTGAAGTTTACTTTCGGTGGCTTAAAGGGGTAGTCTGTTGGGAAATGTATAGCCAGGAAGAATACACCGCCAGCGTAGGGACTGCCTTCGGGGCCCATGATCGTAGCTTGCCAGTGAAACTACCAGAACGTCAGCTGTCTGAACCAGACTCTCGATATTCCTGATGCCGGAGGGGTCGTAGGTGGGGAGGGGTGAGACATACCAAATCATCTCCTATGGGACCAGCAGAGCAAGAGGAAGGGGGGTCACTGTATCACACACTGTCAGCTTCAGTCCACGGTCGATTATATATTCCTCTATCCATCTATCCCGGCCTCCTTCGTCGTCCATCGATGTTATATATATCGTAGGGGGTGACTCCGGCCCAGGGATAAACAAACAGGGAAGAGAGAAGAGGGTATGGCTGACCGTCCCAAGTCTGTGAGTTCCTTGTTAATGCGCTTAAGAGCCATGTCGACTATATGCAGAGGAGATATCTAAGAAGAGAAAGTAAACAGGCGAGACCTGGCGTGGTCGTGTGCGTTTTGTGATCGAGATTTTTTTTTCCGTGGCTATGGCGGGGTTGTTAGCTGGTTACCCGGGAAGAAAGGGTGTGTTTTTATGCAGAAGATGAAGAAGAGAGAGAGAGGATGACGACGAGCAGAGGAGAGAAGGCTAGATGGCTGGATAAATACCTTGAGGTCAAGCTGGCGTCGACGTGAAAAAGGCGAAGGTCGAAAGTTGATGAAGAAGAAAGAAGAAGAAGAAAGAGAAAAAGCGAAGAAAAGTGAAAGCCCGCCTTTGCTGACTCAGCATGACCTAGATAACAAAACTTACGTACGTCCATACAGACATAGCAGAGATATAGACAGAGATACAAGATGTACTATTATTTGGATATTGATGTATTATGGTGGACTAGACTGTCTATGTCTTGCGTGCCTCCAGACGGAGGTATGCGCCTATGATGCATATACCAACTGTGTACTTCATATAACCTATACAAACGCCTGTACGCCGGTGATGGCTCGCCCAAGGATCAAGCCTATGGATAGGTTAGTACTTGACAGGGCGAAGAGGAGAGAAAAGAGGACTCACTATGGATATCGCTCTGGCCTTCATATGTCTGGGCGACAAACAGGTTGGCAACATGTCTTCCAATATGATACTCGTCGCTGGCAGCGTTCCCTCCGAATATCTCCTGCAGCGTCCTGGCGCCGGCCAAGGCTCTGTCGCAGTTCTGCCGTTTGATCATGGATATCATCTCCGGCACTGCTTTGCCCTCGTCCTTGAGACGGGCAACCTGCACAGCCGCCAGGGTGCCGTACGCCGCGTCCGTGGCCGCATCCGCAAGTTTCTTCTGCACGAGCTGGTACTTTGCCAGCGGGTTGCCCTTGAACTGCTTCCGTTCCAAGGCGTACTCTCTCGCCCGGCTGATGCAGTCCTCCAGCGCACCCATGGTACCAAACGCGATCCCAAGTCTCGCGCTGTTCAGACAGGTGAACGGGCCCACCAGGCCCGAGACCTCGGGGAACATGTTCGCTTCTGGAACCGGGCAGTTGTCCATCTGGATCATGCCAGTGATCGAGGCTCGCAGGGCGGTCTTGTTCTTGATGGCGGGCGTGCTCAGCGTGCCGGGTGGGCACTGGTCCCGTTCAATGACAAACCCTCTGATCTTGCCGTCCAGCTTGGCCCAGACCAAGAACGCATCCGAGATGGGCGAGTTGGTGATCCATGTCTTTGTGCCAGAGAGGCTGTAGTAGCCCTTCTTGGTAGGATGCGGTTTGGCGGTGGTCTCCATGCTCCCTGGATCGGATCCGTGGTTGGGTTCCGTCAAGCCAAAACAGCCCAGCAGCTTGCCCTGCGCGAGCTGGGGGAGCAGCCTCTCCTTCAGCTCCTCTGACCCGAACTCGTAGATGCCCGTCATGATCAGGCTGGACTGGACGGACATGCCGCTGCGGAAGCCAGAGTCGACTCGCTCAACCTCCTTCGTTATCAGGCCCGAGGCGACGGTCGACACGCCCGCGCAGCCGTAGCCGTCTATCGTGGCACCAAGCAGGCCCAGAGAGCCCATCTCACGGAGAATAGCCGGGTCATAGTCCTCGTTACGGTATGCATCTACGGTTCACGTCTGTCGTTAGCGTCAACACGTATCAAGGTAGGCCTGTAGCAAGGTAGATATTACCGAGTACCCTGGGCATCAACCGCTCTTGACAGTAACGCCTGGCTGTATCTTGAATCGCCAGCTCATCAGCCGTGTAGAGATTCTCTGCATACAGCGGATCCTGCCACCTGAAGCTCGACGCTGAGTGCGCATGGCGTTGGCCTGCGACGCCTGACGGTCTGCGAGCAGCTCTCAGCGCCGCGCGGGGGACGCTTCTTAACGCGGGATTCATCGTAGCCACAGACTTGCCTGTAGTATTCTGGTCAATTGGAGGGTTGGAAACCGTAGGATGTCAACTGCAGGGCATCTTGTAGTCCAACGAGAAGAAACCCGGAATTCGGCTTTACTCGAGGAGTTTTTTCGGGACTTTGCGAGCTTCCAAGTTACAGCCTCGGTTTCAAGTCTTCTTCTCTTCTACAAGCAAGCCTCGAAGTGCATCTACAGATGAAAGGCTTCTGTCGCTTCTGGTAGGCGTTACGTTTAATCCTTGGATGCTCGACTTTTCAACGAGAACTTTGCTATGCTTCGTCTACCCAGCATGTCTTCTATATCCCCGCTGAATGCCAAAGGCCTATCCGGAAATACCAGGCAAGGACACGGCTAAGCCGTTAGATCTCTGTAGAAGCAACGGATGTCGTCTATCGGAACCTCGAATGCGACATTCGCTTCTATGGTGGGATGTATACATAGTACGTCTTGGAGAATCCCGCCTGGTTCCTGGCAAAGGTTCAGGAAAGTTGCCTTCGATGCATTCGATCTCAGTTACGGCGTATCTTCTCGATTCCACATCCTGCAGCTCTGGATTTGCTCGTAGGTTTCAGACGTTGGACGTGACGTCGCCTTACCTTATGTTTGGACATCTTTCGGCGGCTACGGAGAGAGCTTCGTGTGATGGAATCCGCACCGGACACGACCAAGCTATAGCCTTGTATCATGGTCGCGGACGTCGATACCAGCTCTATAACCGCTAGATATATCCACATATGTATCTGAAAGAGATGTACTGCCGTTGTCTCTCGGGCCTGTCCGTGATAGATGGTACTCTACCACAGACAATTCCTCATCACACGGCACTCCGTTCCGCTCAAAAGGAAGTTCCTGGCGGACAAACGTTGGCCTTTTCTCGGGCTTTTTTCCAGAGCAGCCAATGAAAGGATGCCTCCAGGAGTCGAGCCTTTCGACCCGACCGCCGTCAAGTAAGGATTGCCCTTCGACCCCATCCTTCGGAAGGCTTCTTTCTTTCTTCTCCTTCTCTTTCTCTGCCTCGCTCTGTGTACGCATCTCTTTCATCCGGAGACACCCAAGTTACTCAACGTGGCACAGCAACAGGGAGAGCTGCATCAAACATTCCGTGTGTACATCGCAGTCGACGCCAGCAGCCAGTCAGGGGCAGCCATTCCGTGTATCATACCTGTAAACGGCCGTCTCTGTTCGTAAGCTGTATGGCTGTATGGCTGTATTTAACGGCAGCGAGAGGGAGAAAAGGCAGCGTCTTTCAAGGTTAAACATCGCATGACGCAGGTCGGGCAGAGCAGAGCAGGGCAGAGATCCCTGTCTATAGTCGAGCCAGCTAGCGTTATAATAGCCTATAGAGAAAAGAAAAAGCAGCTCAAAACGTCTTCTTGCTGGCTTAATTGGCTGGCTGATGGTTGGACGTTAATTTCGGGGCCCTGCACCACCAGGTAGGGCGCCACACAGGGAGAAACCAGTCGACGGTGATGGGATGTTTCGACGGGCATGACGGGCGAGGACAGCTCTCGAGGGTGTCTCTGTTCTCTCTCCCCTATAACTATCAAGGCTTCTGCCTGCTTGTCTCTCTGTCTCTGTATAATTCGTCTCTTCACGGTGGAAAAAGCCTCCGTCGATAACAGGCACCCTTGAACCAGCCCCTTTCCCCGTCCTGTCCAACCCGGTCAGCATAAGATAGTCACCAGGCAGAGAGAATACTCACCTTCTTCTTCTTCTCTCTTCCTCTCATCGTCTTCTCTTCTGAATAGTTACTGGCCAAGGACCAGCCTAAATACATCGACTCTGTTTATTAAGTGCAGCACAGAAAAAGAAAACAAAAAAAAAAACACTTCAACCACTTCAGCAACTTCAAGACACACAAAACTCGCTCCAACTGCGTCTACGCTCCTTTTCCTGGTCTCTTCTCATCGATCGTAGATACATCGTTCCGTCGTTGACGAGCGAGAACACGGTACATGCTCAACGTCGCCACTCGCTGCTAAGCAAGAAGACCTCATGGTTTCCGCGCGGGACACGCCGTACACCGTGACCAACTCCTTCAAGAGGTACAGCACTCCGTTTATCCCCCCTCTGCTGCTGTGGGTTTGCTCCGTCTCCGGCTTGATGCTGACTGAATACAGAGGTCTACTCATGAAAACGTATGCGCGGCCTCTCCGGCGCGTGCTGTACGCTGAGTCGCGTCCTGATCCGGCACTGAAGAAACGCCGGATAGCCAGCGGCCCAGGGGATGAAAACAACAACGACGACGGCATAGACAACGACAGCGAGGGTGGCCATGTCCTGCAGCCTCGTGTCGAGGCGCTGGGCGACATAGGGAGCGAGAACAACCTCGTCTGTGCGATTCGCGAGTCCTCTGCTGCGATCCTGTCCAGCCCGTCGCGTCACACCTCTACGGCGGCTACGGTGTACTACTCAGAGGACATCCCCGAGCTGGACGATGACCTGTCGACCCCTCCGAGCTCGCCGCCGCCGCGTGAGCACGAGGCAGAGCAGGTGAAGCTGAAGCTGGCACTGACGCCGCCCCCCGCCAGCACCAGGAAGCCGACGTTTGGCTTCCTCAAACGCAAGAGGTCTGCGCACGACACGCCGCTGACGGAGCTGGAGGTCAACGGCGGCAGTGCCAGCATGAGGTCTATGGATCCCCCCGCAAAGAAGAGGCAGACCCAGCCATCTACGTCGGCATCCACACCCACATCGACGGCCACGGCCAGCGCCCGGCCCGTCCTGAAGCAGACACAGCTCGACCTGGGCGTAGGACAGAGCACGTCACGCAAGGCCTGTGCGTCCTGTGGCATGCAGTACACCCCCTCGTCGGCGGAGGACAGTGCCCTGCATCGCAAGTACCACGACCAGCACTCCCAGCACGCGTCAGGCGTCGACTTTGGCAAGTCCTTTGTCCGTGCAAACGCTTCTCGGTGGGTGTACGAGGCCTCCCGCTTCGAGGAGGGATACGTCGTCATCGTGGACAGGAAGAGCTCGGCCGGCTCGAAGAACCAGGCTCGACGCGTGCTGGAGGTGGTCAACACCGACCTGGGCGCCGCAGACATCGAGGACGGCCTCCTCTGGGGCAAGGTCGAGTCCAAGGAGGGCGGAGAAGAGGCAGACCGGTTCAAGTTCTTCCTCCACATGAAGGACAGCAAGTGCGTTGGCCTCGCGCTGGCGGAACGCATCTGGGAGGCCCACGGCGTCACCTCCAACCCGTCCAAACGCATCCCTGCCTCGCCCACCAGCGTCAGCTGCTCCCTCTCCCTGACAAAGGAGACATACCCGGCCCTGGTGGGAATATCTCGCATCTGGACCTCTCGATCCTCCCGGCGGAAGGGAATTGCACTGGATCTGCTCGACTGCGTGGTCAGCAACTACTTTTACGGCATGGAGATGGCCAGGACACAGGTGGCCTTCAGCCAGCCGACCGAGAGCGGCTGTGCCTTGATGAAGGCCTTTTACGGCGACAACGACTGGAGAATTTACACCGGAAGCTGTTAAAAAGGGGGGGGAAAGAGAAAAAAAAAACTCCTTTTGTAGGAGGGGGTATCTTGTACTATTACGCTCAACCCTTCGACTTCAGGGGCAAATTATTACACCATCTATACCTATCATGTACGGGCGGTTTGGACGGAGGGAGGGCTTAAGGACGGGAGTTTCTATTTTAACATGGGTTCGGTTTATCTAGCTACTTGACACTTGCTTCAGTTTAGGATGGAAATGCAATGTCTACGTCTGTTTTATATATCCATCTACCGTAGAGATGCATCGTGTAGGCGTAGATGTGTAGAACTCGCCGTAGCTGAAGCTCTGGTTAAAATGGTTTCTCCCCGCGCATCTCGACCTTCTTATAGACAAACTACAACCCTTCGCTCTCACGAACGCGCCTCATGCCCATACCCGCCAGCGCTCTCATGTACGATGTCTGGATTAAATCCTTTCCGCCATAAGAAAGCTGCTTCGACCGCCGGAGCCTTCACAGCGGCCAGAGAGCCTCCGTCCCTCCCCACGTCAGAGCCAGGCAGCAGACCTCGCGGCCAGGAAGAACAGCACCAGGCCTGGCAGGGCGACGGACGGCCAGGGACAGCGGATGAATGGCTTGCAGGCATAGATACAGCTGCTGCGAGACAGAAGGAGAACTGCAGACAGCAGCAAGATGGAGGACGGGAGCTGTTTGAGAGGGGTACGTTCTTACACCCGGCCGTCTATAATACATACGTATATAGCTACACCCATGAAGCTATTGCTATCGACGGTGATATGGACAACTGGAGGATGTACAGTCATTTAATCCATTGGCTAACGTCTCTATAGTGATGGAGGTTGAAGGGTATTCGTCCCGTCCCGTCCCCAATTCGAAGACAGTCCGCATCGCCTCTCCGCCTGCGAAACAGATACCTTCCCCAGACGAGGGCAGTGATGACGCAGAAGAAGAGTTAGGCCCTACGATGTCTGAGTATACGGCTACAAGGTCGATAGAGCGACAGTCATCTACGTATCGTGCTTCAACACCTGTCGTGGAGCTGACGGAGGACCCTTTCAATGCTGCCACCGGTAGCTCCGGCAGCTCCGACGACGATGACGACGAGGATGAGGACGAGGATGCTATCGAGCACTCGAGAATACGGAATCAGGAAGGCTTAGGCCTGGGGTTAGGTCCTGTTGCGGATGTGCCGTCTCTACGGAGGGTGTCGTACCAAGGAGACCTTAGAAGCAGAGACAAAGAACAAGAACGGAGGACAAAGAGAGCAACGATGGATGTCGATGCGTTTAAGCGGCTGCTACTTACGGGCAACCCGGGGACAGACGGTACCGACGACAACAAAGGCCCATCAAGCAGAGAGACAGTCGCCACCGAGCAGGACAAACACAGAGAGCAAAGCCAGAGCCAGCAACAGCCTGAGAAACGAACGCAAAAGCTACCTCCGCCTCCCCCAAAATCCCGTAGAGGCAAGGCCATTCCTCGCAGCACGGAGTCTACTACCGAGAGTACCCCGGCACGACCTGCTGAAAGCGCCTGTGTCTCCCCAAGCACCACATAATACAACAAGCCATACCAAATCACCTGCCTCTTCCATACATGGAGCTCCGCCTCCTTCTCCTCTCCCACGGCGTCAGGCTGCACGTTCAGAACCGTCCCTTCCCGCCAACACACAACATAAGAGACCACCAACGCCTCCTCTAGCACGCCGGCACAGCCAGATGAAACGAAGCAGTGCTAGCGCTACTACCTCGAGGCTATCCCTCCCTCCCAACTCCACCAACCCGCTGAACAGGCCCGCTTCCTTGAACAGTGCTACTAACCCCAAGACGCCTCCTCCTCCACCGTCCAGAAGGGCTGGAAGCGGCAACCATACTGATCACGGATCAACGGCGTCTTCTATAGCAGACACTGCCTCAATTGATACCTCGATACAACATCATCACAAAGAGGAATCAGAAGCCTCTCCACGACATAACTCTCACCTCCACCCTCCAAGCCACAGTCATAACACGCCAGTATCAGCATCCTCAAGACCGCAGCCGCCTCCTCCACGCCGAACTACCGGCTCAAGTAGCTCAGCCCACTCGACGGATATAAACTCCACCTCCACTCGGCGTCCACCATCCATATCAACAGAGAAGGATAGTCACCACCTTCCACCGCCTCCACCTCCATTACGCAAAAGTAGTAGAAGCAGCAATATTGCTGAACCCGACGTCTCCGCTCCTTCTAATGCAAATGATATCCTAGCAGACCTTTCCCGGCTTCAACAGGAACTTGACGAGTTTCGTGGCCAGTACGGAGACGGAGAAGTGGCCCGTAATAGAAACAAATGACCCTTATTGATGACTTTATATATACCACAGGCTAGTCTTTTACCCGGCTAAGTTTCCCAGCACTCTTGTTTATACATGCCTATACCTCCTTAGCATAGCGAAGATGAGACGAGCCTTGTCGTTTTGTTTCTTAGCTTTGACCGGTATAACGTCGGTTCTCACGGACAATGATATATTTATATTTATGATTAATGGGCGTTTGGCAGTGTAGAAAAACTCGACTTTGTTGTTACCGTTATTGACTTGAAAGTGATATAAGCTGTTTGAAATTATATATAAAATCATCTCGATATCCTCAATCCGTAGTCTAGAGCTTTGATATTCTGTTCTCCTTACCGACCTCGGCCAGTTTTGCAGGAAGAAGTCTCCTCATCAGCTTCCCATTTGCGTTCTTTGGTATCTCCGCCAGATAATGCACTCCCCCCCGGAGTTGTTTATGAGACGACACACGCCCGTCAACATATTTCCTGATTCCCTGCAGGATACCCCCCATCTCAGCCTGGTTAGATGTAGCCTCTCTCTTCTGGAGGCTAACGTATGCCACTGGAACTTCTGTCTGGCGCTGAGCGTCAAATACGCCGCAGAGAGCTGCCTCTTTGACATCCGGATGAGAGAGAAGCACATCTTCAAGTTCAGCAGGGGAAACTTGTAGCCTGTTTGCATATTCATGTTAATGAAAACTTCAGGTGAAAGCCTAGACCAAGTCTACCTACCCTTTATATTTTATAAGCTCCTTCTTCCTGCCAGTTAACCAGAGAAAGCCATCCGAGTCCATACGACCGATGTCTCCAGAGCAGAACCAGCCATCCTTAAATGCTGCCTTGGTTGCCTCTGGGTTATCTTTGTACTCCCTATCTCTGGTTGTTAGTGATACCACCCCTCCGTAGCTATGTTTTGGGAAGACATACATAAAAACAGTAGGACCCTTGATTATAATCTGTCCTGGCTGCCCTGCGGTAACATCTTTACCATCACCGTCAACAATTCGTGCCTGACTGTGGTTTTTGGGGTTAGTAAAAGAAAGACACAAGTTTGGGCTACTAATTAACACTTACTGGCCTGCGAAGAGGCGACCAACGCTTCCTGCCTTCCATTTGGATGCATGACCTCTCAGGTTTGTAACTCCTCCCTCGGATAGCCTATTATCATTAGCATAGTCTTCGTCAATCTCAGACAAAGAAGCGCAAGCTCACCCATATCCTTGCACAATGTTTGTATCACCCATAAGCTCCTGCAGCTGCTGCACAACTCCCACTTGAAGTGGTGCACCCCCACAGAGGATGGTTTGGACGGATGTTAAATCTAGTCCCCGGACGAACGGTGCCTTTACAAGCTCCACGGCAGTGCTGGGGACTACACACAGCACTGTTGCTTTGATCTCTGCGCACCGTTCTATATATGGCTGAAGCTCAAACTTGTTCATAACAACAACATAGCGCCCTGAAAATGCAGGTAGCACAAATGCCATCATCATTCCATATAGGTGACTGACTGCGGGATAATTTTAGTTTTGCAGCCAAATAATTCAAGTGAGCGGGGTATCGTACAAGGAGCATAGAAGACCTCCCGCTGGAATCCATTATACAGAAACGGATCAGTCTGCCTCATGCAAACTAGGTATCCTATTATGTTGTAGTGGCTAAGCACGACGGCCTTGGGCTTGCCGCTCGTCCCGGAGCTGAAGCATATCACAGCAGCTCTTTTCCGGTTATCTGAATTCGAAAGGTTGAATGGCGGGGTTTGAACCTTTGTTCCGTCAAGTATATCTCGGGGGAACTAGTAGATGTTTAGCAACATAAGAGGCTGGAAGTCTCAATGGTTGAATACCACTCTATAAGCGTCTCCGGCAAAATCATTACCAAGAACAACGATTGTGGGCTTAGTTATAGAACCTCCACCCAGTTTTAATGCTTCCTCTACCTTAGCGAGCACATCTTCTTCTAGGAATATGAATTTTGCTTTCGCAATGGCGAGATAATGCACCAGTTCGTACGCTGTAGAGCTAGGATTAATTGCACTGATGAATACCTGTTAGTTTATAAACAGTGTCGTATCCCACTGTTGGGCTAAAGGTGAAAACGTACCAAATGATACCTCCAAGCCACCATATTGAATGGCCCAGAATTGCCCAATCTACCGAGTTGGAAGATAGCACAGCAGCCATATCGCCTTCTCTCATTCCCAATACTCCTTTCAAGCCTGCAGCACCCTGTGCTGCTGCTGCTCTTATCCCACCATAAGTGATAGACTTATGAGGAGCCCCAAAGTCCTCAAGTATAACTTTATCATGGCGAATGAGATCAGGGTTGAATTCTTCGAGAATCTGAGAGACAGAACGGTCCGTGGGGATGTTCACGTCGAGATACGGTGACTTGTAGGTATTCATTTCTTCGACTTCACGGTTGCATGATCAGTAGATCCTCCGTAGACAGTGGAGGTGAGCCAGGACTATAGAATATATCTGCTCATTTATCTCAGCCATCGAAACAAAGGTTTGGGGTCATGTAGATCTCGCTGTGCCAGCTGTGATGCACTTGCGCAAAATAGCATACACTTGTTCAAAGAAAACGAGGCCTCCGAAAAAACGCCACTTGTCGTGGCTGCTGTCTTTTCTTTTAGCTGCTGAAAACATCTTTCGTATTTCAATGTTTGGGCCTGATGAAGATAAAGTAGAAAAGAAGAAAAGAAGGTTGGCTTGCCGCGGCTGAACTTTATTCGATGGGGTTTGGGCGGGATGACGTAATGTGCTTCACCAATCAACGATCATTACTACTAAACGAACTGTAATGGCAGTATGCCGGCAGTGATGATACAGCATATACCACTCGACCAAAAGATCATACACAGTGATGACGCTCGTCATCTCTGGTCGCTGCACTGCTTATATGCTTGATGTTGGGTGCCACGTGATATGGGCTTTGGGTGCCACGTGATGTAGGCTTGGATGCCACGTGACGTGGGCTTTGGGTGCCACGTGATGTAGGCTTGGATGCCACGTGACGTGGGCTTGGTGGGCGTATGCTGCGTGGCATGACACCTAGACCCCTCTTTTAGATAGCTATTAGAAAATAAAAGAGAATAATATATAGTTAAACTTTATATGAATATATAGATAGTAAGCTACTTAGAAAAGTATAAAGTTAAGGATTATTACAAAACTAGAGGTATATCTAAGGGCAAGAATATTATTATATATAGCTATATATCTAGGGCTTCTATACTCGTATAGAAGCCAAAGAAGCTTCTGCGTATTTACGGTAATCTATATATTCTCAATTGAGAATATATAATATATTGTATCGTATAGATGATTTAGGTCATTCCCAATGTCTGGGCCGGTGGAATCAACAATAAGGATGTCTTTATTGGTCTTGGTCTTTATGTACCTCCCGTCCGGCGAGAAGGCCACCGCCCTCACAGGATCGCCGTGGCCCTCCAGCGTCTGCAGATACCGCCCCGAGGCCGGGTCCCAGAGCCGCACTATTCTATCATCGGATGCCGATGCGAGCATCCTCCTGTCTAGTAAGAAGGCCACTGCCCTCACAGGATTACCGTAGCTCTCTAGTGTCTATAGGTGCCGCCCTAAGGCCGAGTCCTAGAGCCGTACTGTCCTATCATCGGATACCAATGCGAGTATCCTCCCGTCCGGCGAGAAAGCTACCGCCCTTATAGAATCGCCGTGGCCCTCTAGCGTCTGTAGATGCCGCCCTGAGGCCGAGTCCCAGAGCTGCACTGTCCCATCATCGGATACTAATGCGAGCATCCTCCCGTCCGGCGAGAAGGCTACCGGCCTCACAGAATCGCCGTGGCCCTCTAGCGTCTGCAGGTGCTGCCCTGAGGCCGGGTCCCAGAGCCGCACTATCCCATCATCGGATGCTGATATAAGCATCCTCCCGTCCGGCAAGAAGGCCACCGCCCTTATAGGATCGCCGTAGCCCTCTAGCGTCTGTAGGTGCCGCCCCAAGGCCGAGTCCCAGAGCCGCACTGTCCCATCATCGGATGCCGATGCGAGTATCCTCCCGTCCGGCGAGAAGGCCACCGCCCTCACAGGATCGCCGTGGCCCTTCAGCGTCTGCAGGTGCCACCCCGAGGCCGGGTCCCAGAGCCGCACTATCCCATCATCGGATGCCGATACGAGCATTCTCCCGTCCGGCGAGAAGGCTACCGCCCTTATAGAATCGCCGTAGCCCTCTAGTATCCGTAGGTGCTGCCTCGAGGCCGAGTCCCAGAGCCGCACTGTCCCATCATCGGATGCCGATGCGAGTATCCTCCCGTCCGGCGAGAAGGCCACCGCCCTCACAGGATCGCCGTGGCCCTTCAGCGTCTGCAGGTGCCACCCCGAGGCCGGGTCCCAGAGCCGCACTGTCCCATCATCGGATACCGATGCGAGCATCCTCCCGTCCGGCGAGAAGGCCACCGCCCTCACAGGATCGCTGTGGCCCTCTAGCGTCTGCAGGTGCTGCCCTGAGGCCGGGTCCCAGAGCCGCACTGTCCCATCATCGGATGCCGATACAGCACCTCGATCAAGTAGGAGTTGGACAATAGACTCATGTCCGTTTCTTGCGGCCCATGAGAGTGGAGTCTGTCCATCTTGGCCACGAGAATCGAGCTCAGCACCTCGATCAAGTAGGAGTGAGTACATGCTAGAGCGCACTGACAGAGTTGCAAGAGGTGGGCTACTAGAACAGTCTGCGAAATAGTCGTTCTCATGGAAGTAGTCGAAGCCGCCGCACTCATTCGGTTCCTGGGTACTAGCCCTGTCCCAGGACCTCAAATCCAGCTGTACAGTGTTTAAGCCCGTAGTGTGTTCACTAACATTATCTAACCACGATTTAACGATGTCTGTATTAGGGATTTCCAAGTCGTATGTGCCTGGTAGGTTTCGGGCATAAACCCTGTGTTTAGGCCACGGGAGTACCCGCAAGGCAAAGTCGTGGGTATATTGCAGGATGTGGTCGATTAGTTCAGGGGCGTCAAGAGATCCAGATGAATTGCAGAGAGGGCAGCACGTTAGTCCGTAAGATGTTATAGCGCTCTAGTGGAGGAGTGTCTCGACACCATCTATCGGAAGCACGTCTGCGTGCTGATTCTGTATATATACCGTAAAGGCCTCCAAGCCCGAAAATATTGCACCCGTATGGTTGCATATGGGACAAATCCATCTATTAGGACGATGTTCCGTTTTGACATGGTTTTCCCAGTCTCGCCGAGTACTGTACAGAATATGTGGAGTCGGGCAGTCGTCGGCAATGCAGGTATACGGACTGATATCGTCCACAAGATGTTGCCTGTAAAGTAGAACTATGAGTAATCCTAATAAGTTATAGTAGGAAGTAGAAGATTGGTCTTACTTCTATGCATCAGTGTTCTCAGCCATGGTTTCGGGCTAAGGCTAGCAGCAATAAGGGCATTTGAGAATCTTATGCCTCTTCCACTCGTTATTATAAGGTTTTAAGAGGCGCGGATATTAAGTACTAGCTATAATAGTAGTAATCTTTATCTAGAGAGTCCTTCGAATAGAAGCTTTACCTTCTATAAAGCTATTTATAATCTCGATAGTCGATACTACTATCGACGGGCCGGGAGTTACGAGGTTCCTATCTATATCTTTAGAAGCCTCCGGGCTAGTAACTGGTTTTGAGGATGGCGCGACTGACGGTGTAAGTATATCGCCTTCTATAGCCGACCTTATTGGGGTTCCTACTCTGGCTAGGGAAGCCCGGGGTCCCGTCGAGGTCTGATAACCAGCAAGCTTCTCCGAATGCCGCTGGGCACAGAGAAACCGATATCTGCGCCTGAGATTGGTATTAATAAGCCGCGTCTGTAGGGGTGTTAAATAGTCACTACCTTCGATATAATTGGGCACTATATTCATTCAATCTTCTACAGTGGTCGGGGGAGATACCGCTGGGCGGAATAGAGTATTCATCGCCGGCTTCGCCGGCCGAAGCAGCACAATGTACTCAAAATGCCGTCGAAGTCGTGTCTGTCTTTAAGAATCGAACGTTAGGTCTACCCTTTTAAGACGAGATCGCTTTCCGGTACGTCTGATAATAGTGGCGAGTATAGTTAAGTTCTCGATAATTAAGTTAATAACTTCTATTAATTCTTCAATCTTATTACTATGGAGCCTCTAGCAGTCCTATAAAGAATTTTTAAGAGAGGATAGTAAGTACTTTAGCGTCGATAGCTTATCTAGTAGGGCCTAAAGCCTAGTATCTAGCGAGGCCTTCTTTCTAGCTATTGCGCCTACTCCGGCGACCTAGAGATTGAAGTCGGATATTTTTACTTCGGCCTACTTCTCGCATATAAGATTCTTTTTCTCTATATATATACGGAACTCATGGCGGATTAAGGTAGCTAGGTCGGCCATAGGTTCCTTATTAGAAGCTATCCCACGAGATATAGGCTAGGCGGTTCGATATCTAGACTAAGGAAAGTAGGGTATATGTCAGAAGTATCCCAGGCTGGATTCTAAATCGGCGGTGCTTATCTGTCGATAGATGTTTGTGATGGCCTAATGTAAGGGGTTGGACCCCTATTCCCTTCTCGGGTCACCGCGCGCTCCGTAATCGACGAGGCAGCAAGGCCTGTCTGGAGATGCCATCACCAGACTCCCCCTTTTTACTCTCGCGCACGTGACCCTCAACACGGTCACATGACCTCAACGCCTGAAGCTATAGCTCCATCCCCCTTCACCGACTTCCTTCCTTTTCCCCTTTCTTCTTCTTCCCCATGTGTTTTGTCTTCGACTTACGGATACCCTTAGTTAGTTGAATAGAACTCTCTTCGGCCGTTAACACCTAAGGAAGAGAGTTGGTAATAGAACGGCTAAACGTTATGGCCCTTGAAGACGAGAGTATGCTTCTATTATTAAATAGTTAGGACCTATATTTAGTAGAGCTGCGCGGGGTGAATAATATAACTAGTTAAGCGCCTAAGTTACGGGCGCGAACTACGGCTGATCCTGCTCAATACTAGTTTAGTATATATATACTCCTAACCTCGTAGCCTTTTAGTAAACCTATAGCTAGAAACCTGTTGAACTATTAAAGTCGCCCTAGCGAAGCTATAATCTTATCTTTATTCTCCCTCGCTATAGGTACTAGGAGGCTCTAGTCGCCTCGCGGCTCGACGACACCTATAGTTAATACAACTCTCACGATCTCGGCTGGCTCTGCCACGGAAGATAGTTATTTTATCGAGAACTTGATCTTATTCACCTCGTCTCTAAGTCGCATTATTAGGGAAATAGGCGATGGGAATAGGCGTATTTCTAAGAGAAAGGTTTAGCTCTTAGCGAATTTGCTTGCCGCATCGAAATGCCTTGGGTCTAATATGATTGTGACACCAAACGTGAGAGAATTATGGGGGAACCTTCTCTAAAAAATTTTGTGGATCGTTACCGTGAGTATTGGGCCACCGCTAGTTAAATCTCGATGATGCTGATGATACCACGAACTAGTGGCCGGTATCCTTAAAAGGACTGGGTTTGAAGATAGAAGTAAACCCGTTTGAGACCACGCGAGTAATTAGATCTAGTCTCTAGGGCGATATAGTCCCGAGAATCATAGTATTTCTAGAGGAGGGCCAGAGTTTTATGGTAGATTATATTACTGCTACCTATTAGTTGATTGTTAACGAGCTCGCTCCGGACTTAGATAAGAGCGCGGTTTAGGTGGATAATGACGTTGTCTCGTAGAAGGCGGTTAAGGACCTCCTGATAGCTATCTAGAAGTACTTAGCCTGCGATTCTTGTAAAAAAGTTGTAACTCATACAGCGGGTTATATAACTCGATTCTATCTAATAAGGCTCTTTTTAGGTAGACCTCGGCGGACTCGAAATTCTAGCGCTCTCTACGATGTTTTTATATCTTCGTCCTCGCTCCAATATTAGTAGGAGATTGGCGTCATCTTGCCGCAGAAGAAGGTTAGATTTTCCGGCGAGGTTTAGGCTTTACCTTCTAAAAAGGAGAAAGTATCGGGTTTCTATAATGCGTTATGCGCAAAAAATTATGCCCGGATCCTCTTAGAATTGAGGGACTAAGGACTATTTAGGTATAAGGACGTCGGCGTGTTATATTATGAAGCTATTTCCGGTCGAGGGATACCTTTACTAAGTATCCTTCGAGAGTACTATCTCGATATATGGGAAAAGATTATACTATCTTACGCTATCGCGCGGGAATTCTGGCAGTTCTATAAGATAAAGATAATGCTAATAAAGTAGTTAAGTAATAGTATCTAGTTTATATTAAAAAAAGGCGACCTAAACGTACCTCTACTAACTAAAGTATATATATATTTTCCCTTTAAATATGCTAAGTACGAGCTAATGGAGTATTTAGCTATCGGCTTAATATATAAATATCCTAGAATATTCTCGCTAGCTATCTTGCTACTTGAAATTAGTCTTGGTAGACTAATCTAAACGTCGCAGTATAAACGGCACAATAGCGGCTTTGTTGGTGGTATAAATAAGGACTTTTATACCGCCTTAAACCTTCTCGACGAGCTAAAGGGCCAGTCCTGGACGAATTAGTTAGGCAAGTATAAACTCGACCTAGCTATTAAAGCGTGCTTAACTAGTAGCAACTTTACGCCGAGTTTGCAAGATCCTTCCTCTCCTATAGGGCCTTCCGAAAGGCGAGAGGTTTTTTATAAAAAGGTAGTGTAGCCGCTTTAGTGGCTAGTAGATTCTCTTTCGAGTACTAGTGTTATCTACTTCGAAAAACGGAATAATCTTAGATTATCCGATAGTTCGGTCGGTATATCTCTAGTATAGATCAAGGAGCTATATCTGTCTACGTTTGCTTCGTTCTATAGCGGGAAAATCGTTAATTTAAAAAAGTAGTTAGACGACCTAAATAGGATCGGTATTTATATTAAATAGTTAAAGCAACGTCCAGTTAATATAAAAGTTAAACCAACCCGCGTAGTAATCTTGGATTCTAGGTATAGCCTAAAGGCGTCTTTTTTTAAGGATGGAGACGCTCGGAGAGGTTGTATTAAGATATATAAGGATTTTATTAACTAGTCTAAGGAAATGAAGGACTTATTCGGTCATAGGACTTTTATAGCTACGCTTGTAATAAAAGCCGCGCCGACTATAGAGTTATATATAATAAGAATAGTAGAGAATACGGAAGAACTCGACGGTAGCAAAGGTAGAATTAGCGAGGTGTAATATCCTTTTACTTTTTAAAAATTAAGTATATCGCTTCTAATATACTAGGTCAAAAGCCTAAGCTTTCTCCTATAGCTAGCAGAGCTATCTATAAGTAATGGAGCGAATATATCCAACGAGATATTCAGAAAAGAGTATCACGTGATCCGCTGACTAAGATGATGACTCAGCATTATTTTTCAACTCGAGCATTCTGAGATAGCAAGATGACTAAGCAGCTGACTAAGCATCGATCCAACATGCCTATGACTAAGCATCTATCCAATATGTCGCTGACTCAGCATCCATTCAATATCTTGATGACTAAGCATCGATCCAACATGTTGATGACTAAGCATCTATCCAACATGTTGATGACTCAGCATCCCTCCAACATGTCGATGACTAAGCATCCATCCAACATGTCGATGACTAAGCATCCATCCAACATGTTGATGACAAAGTATCGTCATTCAATTTTGATGGGGTAAGATGACTAAGCTGCCAAGCCACTACTCATGCAAGGTTGCAAGTATCCAATCAAATGCTCAGAATTCAACCAATCACGTAATTTACAGCAGACCCACAAATATGCACATTTGACCCCTTCTATATATCCACTTTTTGGAATACAATATACTTCGCTTCGCTCCGTAAATTAACAATCGATAGGTAATTATATAGGCTAGTATTAAACAAAAAGTTAATATAATATCGATATCCTTTGGTATCTCTGGCGATAACGGCGATATTAACGACGCTATCCTTAAAGTCCGCTATAAACGAAATAATAATATAATATTTCTTACTAGCGCCGGCAACTTAGGCCCATATTAAGACATAGCTTTCCTAGTAAGCCATCGGGACGTGATACCTATCCGATTAACTAATTATATAGGCGCTAGTAGCGACATAAACCTAGCGCCTAATAGGCACGAGTAGGCGCCATTATTTACTATATTTGGTAATAATATTCCTCTACTCCTTTAAGAATATAAACCTAAGGTCTGTGGGCTAGGATCTTTAGTTTTAACGGCGGTAGTAGTGTAATGGCCGTATATGCTGGCAGCGATGATACAGCATATGCCATTCGACCAAAAGATCATACACAGTGATGACGCTCGTCATCTCTGGTCGCTGCACTGCTTATATGCTTGATGTTGGGTGCCACGTGATGTGGGCTTGGATGCCACGTGACGTGGGCTTGGTGGGCGCATGCTGCGTGGCATGACAAGTAGCAGGAATTGCGGCCAGCATATTATCGTACTGTGCGTACCTTGAGAAGATATATCCTGACTTATTGGGGGATCGGCAGCTTACGAAATTACGGACGGTCAAGGGTATGGAAGAACTATTCAGCACTATATCGAAGGATATGGGCAATCGGATATGGTTTATTAACCCGGTAAAATTCTTTATAGAGCGGAAAACTAACATCTCAAGATGTACTGCGATTGTGGAATGTATATGTAACGTGAGGTGAAAGCCATGTACTTGGAGCGGGTCAATTTAATTACTACCTGAAAAAGAGAGCGGCACAGAAACCCAGCTATCATCATCTCCTATACTTTGTTTATGGACCTCCAATAACTCGTTAATGCCTTATTAAAACGCCTACGGGCTGACTTCTAAGCACTCAATATCTAGATCACTAGTCCTAGTTATAAATACTTTTTTATAAGAGAATAAATCTTCTTTTATTTCGCCGCTGCCTGCATCGCGGATAATATATACACGGTACGCGAATAAAATACTTGGCGCGGTTTCATATGAGTCGCCCGCTATGTTTGTGACTCGTATATTCCCGTCACCGCCAGCCGTGAATGGGGTTGTGTTAGTTGGATCGCTGGTAGAGGTTGAAGTCTGGGCAGACACGGTTGTATTGGATTGAGTAGAGACGGCGAATAAAGTTTTGGTGATGCGGACCCCAGTGATGATGTAGACGGGCTTACGGCCAAAGAGAGCGGAATCTATGTACTTTCGTACCTTGGGCACTAATACAATGCCCTCTAAGTACCTATCGCTAAGTTTACGGTTGAAAGCCCATACCTTATGGTCCACTTTCCCGAAGTTATAAACGCGAGATCGATCTACCGATATTTCGGCCCTAGTTAATACAACTTTGCGAAAAGTAGACCACAGTTTTATCCCGATAGAGACGCCCGCTTCTCTAGGATATTTATAATTCCGTTCTACGATACTCTCCTCTTCTAGTAGGTTAAGGTCGGCTAGTAGTCCGTTACCCTCGGAAGCTAGGATACTTAGTGGCCGAAGGGGGTGCTTAAGTATAGTTCCGAGGCGGATAGCACTATCCTTACGGTAGGTAAAGTCTGGGGGTAAGAACTATAGCGGTATAGTAAAGGACTAAAAATTATGCGTAATGGTGTAGATGGGAGGCTCGAGATGCCGTCTAGAGGTACAAATCTTTATTAAGATGCGGAGTGTGTCCTAGTGAAATACGAAGTCGCTTTCTACGCTAACAGTACCGCATTTCTAGTCTCACTAGTGATGCTAAACCACGTGTTTAACCCCCGCAATATGCTCAGATGCATAGAAGAACCCTGAAGAGATTTCCTGAATCGTACATAATAGATATTCGTACAGGTGGTATAGTAGGTAGCTTTGGAATAGAGGAGCCAAACAAGTAGCGATTCTGGGCTAGCGGAAGGGTGATATGGCTATAATGACTTATAAGTCGCGTCATCTCTCACTAGCCGCAGAGAATAAAGCCCTTAAAGAGCAGGTGGCGGGGCTTAAAAGCGAGAACGAGAATCTTAGAAGTGTGAACCAGGAGGTCATCGCAGATACATATAGTCTTAAGGAGGCATTAAAGCGACCACTTTAACTCGCAGCCAGTGTTATTTTAGCTGGGCGGCAGAAATGACGCCTAACAGAAATGCATATATGTATATGTAGACAAATGGAGGCCACGCTTTTTTAAGAGGCCACGCTTTTTTAAGAGGCCACGCTTCTGCTCAGCACGGCAAAACAAAACTTATATATCCAAGAACTGATTCATTGGGCGCGTAGCTTCTACCTTGAGGGATGAGGTCTGTTTCACGTTACTCCTTCCAGCGTGAACAGAGGCCTCATTGGGTATGAATCTGGCCCCATGCGCCTGTTCAAGCGTCCATGAAGATGGTGATTTGGGGGCCTCCAGCGCCAAAGGCGATATGTGCCAAAGGCGATAGTATCGTTTGTGACGGAACAATATATTTCCACCCCAGCAATGGCCTGGTCTGAGGGATCCTGGGAAGTTGTTGCTGCTACGAGCAGACGCATTTCGTGTCTAATAACAGTTATATGATGGCATACGTCATGGCTTGATGCTACAAAGGGGGTTCCTCAGCCTGTACAACTGGAAGTACGCTTGAGAGAGAGAATCACTTAAGGGCTCTTTGTGGATAGTTGAGTCGAAGTATTATCAGAGATATATTTAAACGGAGATACTCTAGTATTTAACTTTAAGGTAATAGCTCTAAGTCTAGCTTACTCCCGTGGGTATAAGTTCCTTATTATAATTAAAGTAGTACTCTAGTTAATTAGGTATAAGGCTTATTAAGGGATATTAGATAAATAAAGAAAGTATACTTATATTAATTAGTACTATAAAGCTATAACTTACTATAAAGTTAACTTTAATCGCAAGTATTAAAAGAACTCTTAATTAAGATAGGAAACGAGTATCTTTATATATATATTAATCTAAATCTATATTATCTATTTCCTTATAAATCTATCGTTAGTCTTAAACCTTAAGTCTATTATTAGATTCGACTCTTAAATCTATCGTTAAATTCGAACCTTAAATCTATTATTAGATTCCCTAGCGCTTTAGTAACTTAGATTCCGTATAATCACGTGATCTACTCGTTCTAAGTTTTCTATCTACTCTATATTAGTCTAATAAATATAGTTATCTAAGCTATACCGTAGGTAGTCTATAATATTATCCCTCCTCTTCTTAACAAATCGTCTTAATCGTTATCTTCTTATTCTTATAAGTAGTAAGCGTACTCCTCGTTATTTTCTTAAGAGTTCTATAAGTTCCTCTTTATCCTTTATTATAGCTCCTAAATCTAGTGTTCGAAAATCCTTATATCCTTATAATTATGCTCCTAAGCTTCGAGTTCTTTCTAAGATTATTAATTGTTAAGGGTAGATCTCCGAGTTTCCTTATAATAACTATTTTATCTTAATAACTCCTTATATAGTTATATCTAAATCTCCCTCTAGTCGTCGTGTCGTTTAGTATACTGCTTATATCTATAATAACTATCCTTATATAGGCTATACTTACGATCCTTTAGAGTAGGCTTATTAGGAAGAATAGAAGTTCTTTACCTAGCGTTATATTTTTAATAGCCGCTTAACCTTATTATTACTCTCCTCCCAAGCCCTACGTCTCTAGAATAAGCTCTCCTCTCTTTATTATACTATCGCCGATAAGTCCCGTCGTCTGCTCGAGTTTTAGGCTACTAAGCTATAGCTTTAGCTTCGTAGTGATAAGATATTGTCTTCTACTAAGAAGGTAGTCGATCCTCCTTCCTCGGCTAGTCTATCTCTAGATTAGTTTTTCGCTATTTCGTCCGATTCTATTAATATTCCTTAATCGCCTATATTATATTCTAGAGGTTCTTAATAGGTTCGTAAGTATTTTCCGTACTGTTATAGCCTTTCTATTTTACTAGATAGTAAAGCCTTCCGCTAATCCTTTTTTTATCTAGGATTCTTTCTACTTCGTATTCTTGTTCTTAGTTTTCTTGTTCGAGTTCTAGTTTATATAGTTTGGCGTTTTAGGGTACTTTTTTAATTAATAAAATATAAAATACTAGATATATTTTTATATAGTCTAGTAGTTAGAGTTTATAGTTAACTCATCCGAGTTATTCTAAAATTTTAAATAGTCCTATCTTCCGGTGGTCTAGTTTATTACTTAGTCTTATAGTTTTAATATTTTATTATAGTAGGAATACTTTCTCCCCCCTTCTAAAAGTTAGTACTTCTATACGTTTTTTATCGTAGTAGTCGCTTATTCTATAATTTAAGAATTTAAGATCCTTTTTTATCGTTTTGTATAGATTTTGTAATTTTTCCGCCGTTATCTCTACGTCTCTTATATAAGTTTTTACTTTTCTAGATATTTTTATCGTTTCTAGTTCTCTTCTATAATTTATAAAGAAAGGTATTATACCTATTAAGGCTATCTTGGCTCTATTATAGGCGAGCTATACTATTAGTAGTAGTTTAACCTAATTATTCTATTCTTAGTTAATATAGTATTTTAGGTATTATTCTATAGTTTAATTTATCCTTTTACTCTATCTATCCGTTTAAGGGTAATACGCTGTAGACACTTTCTATTTAATCCCTATTCTTTTAATAAGTATTATCTAAAATTTACTTATAAATCGTGTGTCCCTATCTAATATAATTTCGTCTAGTAATCCGTAATTAGTAAATACTTGTTATAGTAGAATATATACTATATCCGGTACTAATATTTTTTTAATAAATAGAATAAAGTAGATATACTTCGTTAGTCGATCTATAATTATTATTATTATGTCGTATTATATACCCGATCGTGGCTCTTTTAATTTCGGTAATTTTATAATAAAATCTATTACTATCGATTTCTAAGGGGTTTCCTTATATAGTATAAGTTATAAGAGTCCGTATAGCGCGTATTATGCCGATTTATTGTATTAGTAAACGTTATACTCCTAGATATATTGTCTAATATCTCTCTATATATCTAGCTAATAATAACTCCTAGTAATCCTTTCTATAGTTTTCTTAATTCCGAAGTATCCTATACTTAATTCATCGTGATTTTTCTTTAATATTTATTCCCGTACCTCCTTAGATATATATATTTGTCCGTAGAATAGAAGTATTCTATTCTCTTTCCGGTATCTAATATCCTCATTTAAGATCCTTCTAACTAAGGAGTTCTACTTTAAGTACTTCCGTATTTCTTCTTCTAGGGTATCCTCGTCGGATGTGACTATCCTAGTAGCTCTTAATACTTATATATCTAAGACTATATTACTAGTATTTAGGTCTTAATATAAGATTACTCTATATTCCCTTCTTTTAGTTATTAAGTCTAGTCTCCTACTTAATACGTCCGTAAAAGCGTTCTCTATTCCTCTATAATATTATATCCTAAAGTTATAGTAAGCTAAGGTCTCGGTATACTATCTTAACTATTATTGAGTTAGTTCTTTTATTATAGTAAAATATATTAGGTTCTAGTAGTTACTAATTACTATAACTCGGTATCTTACTTCTTATAACTCTTATTTCTATCTCTTAAATATAGTAACTATCGCTAATAGTTCTTTATTATATATATTGTAATTTTATTCCGTAGGTATTATTATTCTAGTATAGTATACTATAAATCGTAATTTCCCATTTTCGTCTTTTTACTATAATCTAGCTCTAATAGCGTAGTCTAATACGTCTATATTAATATATACTTCTTTCTCTAGGTCGAAATATAGTTATATATCTCCTTATCTAAACTTCTTCTTTAGTTCTTAGAATATTATCTCTTCCCGTTCGTTCTATAAAAACTCTTTTCCTTTCTTAAATAGTTCCGTAAGTAGTTTCGCAATCTCTAAGAATTAGTATATATACTATTAGTAGTAGTTTATTAGTCCGTAGAATTACTAAACTTCTTTAACTATTATAGATATTAGCTATTTATTAATTACTTTAATCTTATCTAGGTCTATTCGAATTCCTTCTATTAAGATAATATATTCTAGGAATTTTACTTCTTATTTATAGAACTTATATTTCGTCGCTTTAAGATATAAATTGTACTTCTATAGTCTCTTAAGTATAATCTTGACTTTTTCTATATAGTCTGCCTTATCTCTTTTAGTAAATATAAGGATATTATCTAAGTATACTACTATAAATATATCTAGATATTCGTGTAGTATATTGTTAATAAAAGCTTAGAATATTACTAGTACGTTTATTAATCTAAAAGGCATAACTTAGTATTCGTAAAGTCTAAATCTTATTCTAAATATAATTTTCTATTCTTCTTCTTTTTTAATTTATATTCGATAGTAAGCTTCTCGTATATCTAGTACTATAAACTATATTACTCCTCTAAATCTATCTTATAGTTTATTAATTAATAGTAAAGGGTATTTATTTTTAATAGTAATATTATTTAATTGTTGGTAATCTACGTATAGTCGTAAACTTCTATCTTTCTTTAGTATAAAGATAATTAGGTATCCTACTAGTAATATTAATTATTATATATATCCTTTCTCTAGATTCTTATTAATATATTATTATAACTCCTCGAGTTCCTTCTCGGTTAACCTATACGTAGATTTTAATATAGGCTCCTTTCCTTCTTTTAAAGGTATCTTATAATCCTAAGCCTTATATTTTGGTAAGCTCTCTATTAATTCTTATTCTCTAAAGATCCCTAGTAAGTTATAGTACTCCTAAGGTATCTATTTTTTTAATTCTTTTATTTTAGCTTCCTTTCCTTAGTAAACGGTTTCCTTTTTTCTTTCTTTTAATTAATTATTTCCTTATTTCGTCGTTCCCGTATTAACCTAAATTGTCTTATTTAGTATCTGACCGCGGTCCTTATTCTTATAGATAGCTACTAAGGTACTAGTCTTCTAGTTAGAGCGGCGGTCTCTACTATTTAGTTACAAT